GCAGAGGCTGTGCTCTGCCTGCTGCCTGCGCTCAGCCTCCCAGGGGAGCCCTGCGGGGAGCCAGGCAAGCCTGGAGCTGTTCTGCTGCTCCTCTGCCACTGCTGCCTGCTGCGCAGAGCGGGCACAGGCATGGGCACGGGCATGGGCATGGGCAGGAGCACAGGCAGGGCTGGAGCCTGCTCCTGCGCTTTCCTCCTGGCTGTGGTGCCGCTTGGGAGGCTCCCCTGAGAGCCAGGCTGGATTCCTGATCTCCCTTTGCCACCTGCCCTGGGTTACAGGGGAGCTGAAGGGCTGTCGGCTCGGGCTGTGTTGGCCCAAGCCATGGGCACAGTGCTCCCTCTGGGAGTTCAGACAGGCTGCTGCTCCATGCTGCTCCATGAGGAGTTAAAGAGCTGCCTTCTTCCCCGCAGGAGCGGTGAGCAGGTACCCGCAGATCCTCCTCCCCACGGGTGACCAGCCAGGGGAGCAGAGCTGCACAGTGGGATGCATCCATCAGCAGGGCCCAAGCCCCAGGATCCAGGGAATGCCCCAGGGGCAGACGGGGTCCTTGGGGCAAGAGCAAAGTGCTCAGTGCTCTGCTGTGCTGCAGGGGAGCCCCACGAGATCAAAGCGGTGCTGGGGAGATTCCTATCGCTCCTTACTCACTGTCTCCAGGCAGGTCCCAACCCCTCAGCTCACCGGGACCCAGCTGCTGGCACCGGGCACTGGCAGGAGGCTGCGTGTGCCTCATCATCCTCCCGGCCCACGCTGCTGCGGGTGGCAGCTCCCTCATCACCCCTTCACGCTCCCCTCACTTTGCCTCTGCAGGCCCGGCTCCATGCCCTGCTGCCCGCCTCTCCTCTCCTCTCCTCTCCTCTCCTGCCTCCCCAGGGCTGCCGCCCGCGGCCTGGGTCCCACTCCTGCTCCCAGCCCAAGGGCAGGGTCTGCCCCAGCCCGGCCCAGGGCTCACACTGCTGGGGTGATGGCGATGACAAAGTGCCTGTGCCCAGTGCCCGCACCCCTCAGCACTCCGAGTCCCTCTCGCAGTGTGTCCCACCTGCACCCTCCCCACCGAGGGACAAGCAGCGTGGAGAGGGGATGGTGGAGGCGGCACAGGGAGTGCAAGAGGAAGGGTCACGGTGCAGCAGGGATGGGGAGGCTGGAGATGCCGAGGGTGCAGGGCATGTGGGTGCCACAGGCTGGGTGAGAGGCCCCAGCTCAGTCAGCATGGACCACAACACCCTATGGAGCAGTGCAGCCACCCCAGCACCGCACGTGGAGCCGATGGTGGCTCTGGCAGGGGAGGAGATGGCTGGGAAGAGGACTCTGAGCAAGCTGCTCCAGTGGAAGGGGTCCCTGCCCGTGGCAGGGAATGGATCTGGGTGAGCTTTAAGGTCCCTTCAACCCAAACCAAGCTGGGGTTCCGTGATTAATTCCCTGGGGTTGACAGTGCCCAACCACGTGAGCTGGTCTGCTGCTTCCGTGGGGGGAGGACAAGGCAGCCCACCTCATCTCCCAGGCACTGTGAAGCCAAGCTCTGGGGTGCATGGCAAAGGGTGGGATCCTGTAAGACACCAGTGGGAGAGGAAGGTGATCAGGGTCTTCTAAGGGCACAGGCGGCTGGGGAGCACCATGGCAGTCGTGCTGCCGTTCCTCTAAGTGTGCTCTTGTTCCTGGATCAATGGATTCTGAAAGCTGCTGAGGCAGCCTCCCCAGTCAGGTGGGTTCGAGTGTGGTGTCCCTGAGAGAAACCGTGGCAGAGGAGCCTGAGGAGGAGCATCGTTTCCTGGCCAACCCGCTCCGCTTCATTCATTTCTCTGTCTGGGAGGAATGATGCTCAGATCACAGAGGATCCAGCAGAAACTCACTGGAGCCCAGGTCCTGATCCCCCAGGAAGCCTCAAGGGTGGTTTAAGCTCCTTTGATTGGTGCTGGCGTGAACTCAGCTCCTTACAGAAAGAGCATGGCTGCTGGCCAGGGAAATGAGGGCTCTGCTTCCAGCATGCCTTGGAGAGGCAGCCATGGGCTTGCTGCTGAGCTGCACCCCGTTGCTCTTGGGTCTCATCAGGTCTCAGTCTGTTGGCTTGGCACTGCCCAAGCACTGTGAGGACAAAGGGGTTTCTCTCATAACAGGACCTTTGTGTGCTGGTGAAAGGTGGCTGGAAGGCAGCCCTGGAGCCTGAGTCTCCAAGGCACAGGGTGAGCCTTGCCCAGGAGCTGGGCCAGGGTCCTTGGGCATGCTCTTGGCAAGGACGCCTTTCTGACCGGTGCAGCACAGGCCATGGGGGTACCTACCCATGGCAGCACAGGCAGAGCTGCCAGCAGCTACTGACTTGTGAGCTTTCTCATCTCTCTTTGGTTCTGCCTGGGACTGCCGTAGGAGGAGGAAGGGATCCTGACATTTGCTGTAGCTGTAGTATTTGAGGTGGATTCTTTTGGGCAAATACATGTATTTGAATAAAAGTCAGCACAAATCTCTTTGCAAAGGTTATGTTGAAAGAGGAACAGTGCACAGATTGCTAGCCCTGGTTTGGGACCTGCTGAAGGAGGCACTCCTCCTCCAGATTGGAGTGAGTGGAACAGGAAGATCTGTGTAAAGCTGAAATCACAGCATCTCACAAAACTGGGGACAGATGCCTCCTGCAGTCATAAACCAGCCCAGGCCCCTGCCTCAACAGCTTCCTCCATGTTCTGTCGGATACCTAGGACTGATGTGTCCAAGAGGCCACACCAGGCTCTTCCAAGAGCAATCTGAAGCTTGCCTTACCTTTCCCTACAGCAAACACAAGAGGTGCCTTTGCTAATCCGAGAGTTTCATGGCTGACACCTCTCCTCATCTCCCTTATTTTTCCCGTTTCCCTGTTGTTTGCCCAGGCAAGTATTCTGTCTGTAATTCACGTTCTCCACAGGGGACCTCGTGCTGTTGCTGCTTTGCCAGGCCGGACAGATGACTGCTTGTAGATTTTGCTCTGAAGTCAATGTCCTGCTCCTTTCACTCCACCTCTACCCCAGGAGCAGGCTGCATCACGGGCTCATCTCAGCGCTGTCATTGCTTCAACCTCCTGAGGACCGAACCTGCAGCTCCCTCAAAGGCTGTGACAGTTGTCAGCGCTCTGCAGCCTGACTGCCAGGACAAACAGGTAGGAGACATTTCAACAGCCTAAATGTGAATGCAGTTATCAAGCCCTGGGGGTAGGAAGAGTGCTAAGCTGAACTGCATTATGTGCCTGGGCTGCAGATGGGTATGCAACTGTTTCTGTTCTCTTGGATGACATAATGCCTGAAAAATCATGATTACATGTTACTGGGCAGGGAGCAGCTGCAATTACCTGCATAATACAACCCCGGTTCACAGGCAGGGTTTCACTTCCCCAGTAGAGTTACCTGCCCAGCTGTTGGCAACACCTCATGAAGGTTTTCATCTCCTTTGCTCTGCTGTTTGGACCCAAAGAACAGGTTCTTAGGTCACGCTCTTCTGCAAAGGGGAGGAAAGCCCATCAGAAGCACAGGGAAGGGAGCTCCTGGTTCCTTGCTCTCTGAAGCGCACACTGGGCCCTTGGTTTGCTTTAAACACCCCTCTGACTGTGGAACAGGAGATAGGGAAAGTTCTAGAACCTGCTGGTGTGGAAAGTAGGGACTTGTCTTCCTCAGAGCAGCCGTACACTTCACAAGCAGCTCCTGGTGACAGGCAGGAACCCACTCACCCCTCTGGCAGCTGTAACCTCTCCACATGTCCCAAGGTTCTGGCGAGGTCAGAGACCAGGCAGATTCTGCTTCTTGCCTGAACTCCCTCACTTCTTCCTCCAGTTTCCTGTCTGACGGACGAGCTGTTTGGTCAAACACTGTCTTTTTCACTACTGGGACAAATTTGTAGTTTGGGCCCCTATCTTGACCCTGGTTGTCCTCAGATGCAGTTTGGGTCCCAATCTCTACTATCATGCTCTCCGATGTAGTTTGCACCCCAGTCTGTCAGGGTGCTCAGAGGTGGTTTGGGTCCCTGTCTTAACCATGGTTCTCTGATAGTACTGAACAGTGGCTCAGGAGGCACAGGCCAAGCCCCAGTCCAGTGCTAGAAGATGCTCTTTTCACAGGGGTAGACAAGGCACCCTCCCGTCAGCTGGCCCAGCAGCTCGACAGGGTTACTTGCCTGCTCAGTTATGAAGTCCCAGGCTGTGAGAGGTGGTACCTGCCCAAACCCTTCTGCACACCCTGCACCCAGGGACCAGCCACCTCAGGGCATGCTCCAGTATTGCCTCACCCAAGGATGACACCAGATTCCACAAACCCCGTAGCATGTTAGTGGTATCAAACAGCTTATGTAAGGGTGAGCAAGGACCTCAGGAGCCTGTGTAATAAAACCACCCATATGAATCCCAGGTAGGAAGAGGGAGATGTATTCCCTCATCCTTTCCACACAAGGCCACCAGTGCCAAGGCAAAGCACAGAGCCATCTTTGTACCAACGTGTTCCCAAGTCAGCAGTCAACAAACTTGGTGAGCCGCACAGAGGCTTGCTCCTGAGTAACTGCTGCAGCTATAGCCCCTGGGGCACAGAACGGCCCTTGGCTCAGGGCTCACGGTAGGCACCAAAAAGGACAGCAGTGGGCTGCCCTGGGCTGCTCACCAGATGCCCACCAAGCTGCTAGCCTCTGCTCCCAGGACAGAGGGTAAGAAAGTAAGGTGGAAAAGGACTTGTGGATCAAGGTAAAGGCAGTTTAATAAAGCAGAAATAAGACCGTGTGCAGAAGCAAAGGAAAACAGATTTATTCTTTATTTCCCATCATCAGGTACAATTACAGACAATTCTCAGGAAATAGGGCTTCAGCAAGCATAGTAGTTGCTCCAAAAGACAAACACAGTAACAATGAATATCCCCCCTCTCCTCCTTTCTCTTAGCTTTCACTGCTGAGCAGATATCATATGGCATGGAGTATCATAGAACCAGACTGCTTTCTTTTGAAGGGGACCTTAATGGTCATCCAGTCCCAACCCCTGCCACGGGCAGGGACCCCTTCCACTGGAGCAGCTTGCTCCAAGCCCCTGTGTCCAACCTGGCCTTGAGCACTGCCAGGGATGGGGCAGCCACAGCTTCTCTGGGCACCCTGTGCCAGCGCCTCAGCACCCTCACAGGGAAGAATGTATTTCCTTTTGTTAGTTGGGGTCAGTTGTCCTGACGCTGTTCTGTCCCAAGATCTTGCCCAGCCCCAGCCTACTGGTGATGGGGGAGTGTTGGATGTACAGCCTTGATGCTGAGGAGCACTCAGCAGCAGCAGCCAAAACACTGATGTGCTTTCAACACCTAGTTAGCAATACAAAGCCCAGCACTAGGAGGGCTGCTAGGCGTTGAATTAACTCCATCTCAGCCAGATACACTCCAATTGTTTATTTAAACATTACAAGCCACTTTTAACAAAATCCCAATGAACAGTGAGGATCTGAAAAGCCACACAGCACTTTGGGCATCACAAAGAGAAATGCTCTGCAGGCCCTGACCAACCCAGGGGCTAAATGTGCAGACAAGCACCTCCAAGAGGATGCTAATACCTTGTTCCACTTCTCTCAGCCAAAGAGCGATACAGCTTTGTAAGCAGGTGAGGTTGTAAATTAGAAACCTCAATCTCTTATCTACCTGCAGAAGGTGCCCAGGCACCTGGAGGGCTCTGATGGTGGTAAGCTTTTAAGCTTCACAGGAGAGAACGTATGGCTGCAGTCAGAGCTGGAAGGAAGCCACATGCTGAGCTGCAATGTGAAGACTACCCTAGCACAAGGCGTGTGGGACATGCTGCATTTCTTCTCACCCAGAATCCTCCATTTTTTCCCTTGTTGTCCTGTACCAGCACAGAACATCCTCTCTAGCCCAGAAGGAAGGGGGAACGAATACACGTACATCCACAGACTAAGGAGGCTCACCTTTTGCTGGAATTTGGATCTCGCTCCCTACCCCAACCCAAAATCTGAGAACAGGGCTAGCTCTGGAAGGACAAAGCCCTCTACAAGCTAGGATCCATGAGGCAACTAATAGACTGCAGGCTGATGACTCGCCTTCTGCATCTGAACGATCTTGCCAAAGCCACCTCTTCCAACATCGTAGTCTGTCCGGTATTCATCTCGCACCTGGGGCACAGCAGGAACACAGGTATTAGCATCCTGCACTGCCTGTCTCCTGCTAGGCTTCAGGATCATCACCCCCCTCCTTGCTCAGCTGGTGGAGAACTAAAGTTCAGGTTACAAGTACTTTGACTCATTTGAAATCTCTTCAAATAATCTACCAAAAAGGTGGTAATTGTAATGAAAATGGTAAGTGAGGATACAACTGATGGCTGAGGTCTTTAATTTGGACAAGAGGCAAATATGATGGCGAACTTGTATTCAGCCTTGTGATCCTGCTTTCTGGATTGCCAAGCTTGGCTTCCACAGTATGTTATCCCCTACATCGAGGATATTTTTTCTCCAAATCTGCAAAGGAATCTCACTTCTGCACTGGGGCAGCCTGCTGGATGATGACATTAGCCTGGTAGCTGCACTGTCCCCCTCCATGCAAATCTACATAACTTTAAGAATGTTAGCTTGAATGTAGGTGCCATTCTGCTTGCATTGCAGGAAGTTTGGACTCCTACAAAGAAATAGCCTTAAGTTCCATCGCTAGCTTTTAACACCACGCATCAGTTACTGAGAGAACTTAGCAGTGGCTAAAGTTCACTGTCAGGTCTTTAGAGCCTACACACTCTTCTGCATGACACAAAACTAGCACAGTCTGAGGGGGTTCAAGTTCAAGGTATGAACTGGGATTGCCTTTACCTGTCCTCCAGTCTTTCCTCTTCCATACTGTCGCCCCTCCTTAAACCCTGCATCCCAGTCAGTTCGAATGATGCGGTCATCCAGTCGTGTGCCGTTGACAAAGCGCATGGCATTCTCAGCATCTGCTCTTGTGTAGTACCTGGAGCATACTATAAGGAGAAATAAGCACACTCTTTCATTGGGTGCAAGGATAATAAAAGGAAACTATTGTATCTGAGAAGTAGAAAACTCTTGCCTTCCAGCCTTTGCTTCTCCAACTGCTCTTCTCTATGGGATCAAATACTGTACTCATATATGCCCAAGCTAAAAATAGCTCCCACCCAGAAAGGATTCTGAATGTGAATGCCAGTACCTGCACAGACAAGAAGTAGCTTAGGATCGCTTATTTCTAAAGTAGATGAAACAAACATGTCAAAGCTTTGCTAAGGGCAAGAAACCTGTAAAATGCTTTCTTATACTCGGAAACTTGACCGAGTTTGAACACGAGGGGCAGGCCTCACAGGAGAGCAACGACAGTTCAGGGTATGACTTGTACAAGCGTGCACCCTTTGCCTGGGAATGCTGCCATGGCTTATCCTGCTACTTCGCTCGGGTCTAAAGGTGAGAAAGTGAACATGTGCCTGGCCATGCAAGAGCTCAGGGAGGAACCCGACGTGCCAATCACGCACACGGGCTGTCTGTGGCAGGGAACCACAAAGGATACTCCACAAAGCAAAAGCCACAGGGGGTTTTCTTGATCTTGTCCAGCCCCATCACAATCCTCTTGACGTCTCCGCACTTGGCGAAGAGCTCGTGGATCTGCTCCTCGGTGGTGTAGAAGGACAGGTTACCCACATACAGCGTAGAGGAGACCTTCAGGGACTTCTCCTGCAGCTGCCGGCTGCCCTGAGGGCGGAGGGGAGGGCGCAGAGCTGTGAGCACGGCGCCAGGCCCCGCCGGTCACCCCCCACTCGCCGGCTCCACGCACGGCCTTGCTCCAGCCCCGCCGCCCTCCCCATCCCGGCCCCGCCGCGGGCGCACCCGGAAGTGCTGGTCGCGGTACTGGCTGATCTCGCAGTAGGAGTCGCTGTTGAGCCCGCTCAGCGTGGTGCTCAGCAGCCCCGAAACGACACTGCGCCCGCTCCTCGAGCTCTCTCCCCCCGCCGCCATCGCGCCCACCGCACCGCACCGCACCGCACCCGCACCAGTCGCGCCTCCGCCACGCCGCCCGATTGGCCCCAGCGCCTGTCGCTCGGGGCGGTGAGGCGGGGCGGTAGCGGCGCGCAGCCAATCGGCGCGCTGAGCCGTCGGAAGCGCGGTTTCGGAGCGGCCCTGGAGCCGGTCCCGGCATGCCCCGCGCCTTTCCTGCAGCGGCAGCCGCCGGGGGGTGGCGCCCGCGGGCATGGCGGGGGTGCGGCTGGCGGCGCTGGCAGGTACCGAGGGCGGGCACGCGGCCCCCGCCGCTCGCGCTGGGCCCTGCCTCACCTCCCCGTTGCCGTCTTGTGTTCAAGGGCTGCTGCGGGAGCTGCTGCGGGAGGAGGCGCCGGCCCGCATCGCCGCCCTCACCGAGGAGTTGTTCCAGGCGGCCAAGAGCTTCCCTGAGCAGGCCGGGGGAGCGGCTGAGCTGGAGCCGCGGGCTCCCGGCCCGCCCGACGGAGCCTCTCCGCCCGCGGCAGCGCTCGCCCAGGTTGGTGGCTGGAGGCAGCCTCTGCGGCCCGGTTGAACCGGTGGCTCCAGCGCTGCGGAAATGTGAACCGAACGGGGTTTGCATCTCTTCAACCCGAGAGCTTGGAAGGCTGAAATAAAGTGGAAAGTGGTGTGCATGCACCATGTTCATCGTAGGTGTGAAAATGCATTATAACGAGAACTGGTACCTTGGTGGTGTTGAGCGGTTTTATTATTTCACTTTTCTAGTAGTGTCTGGTTGTAATTTCAAGTACAAACACAAGCAGGGAGCGCTGTGCACTGAGGTGTTGGTACTGGAAGAGGTCTTGCTCACCCCGTACGGGGATTCCAGTATCAATAGTGGGTGCTTAAGGAAAAGACTGCCCCATCCCTGGCAGTGCTCAAGGCCAGGTTGGACACAGGGGCTTGGAGCAAGCTGCTCCAGTGGAAGGGGTCCCTGCCCGTGGCAGGGTGTTGGAGCTGGAGGAGCTTTAAGGTCTCTTCCAACACAAACCAGTCTGGGATTCTGTTACTTGTTTCTTCTAGAGGAGTTCTTATAAAACAGTGTCAGCTTCAGAAGGTTTTTCTCTAAAAGCAATACATGGTTCTGAAATAAAAACTAGGCTGGTGGGATATTGCCCAACCTTTTCTTCCATAACTGTATTTTGGAAAGAGATTTAACTCAGAGCCATTACTGTCAGAGGAAGCCTGATTTTAAAAGTCATGTGTTTGTGACAGGAGCAGGACAGGTTTGCAAGTTTAATAAACAGAAAGTAATTCTTGGTGCAGTCTGTAAAGAAATACAGGAGCATAAAACTGGTGACCTTCAGTTGCGACTGAATCAGTTGGGCTGTCAGTTTGAAAGAAAGGAGAAATCATTCATTTGTAATCTGATCAATTAGAGGGGCCATGAAACGACTCCTAGTTAGACAAGAGTATATTTGTAGGCAAGATCTGCCACAGAGACAAGGGTTAGAAGTGGTGGAAGTGCAGCTCTTCAAGGTGGGTTGTTAAAGGAGCTTATTGCCTTGCTGTAAGACTGAATCATCTTTTTAACAAGAGTATATAGTCAGTAACCTTTGTTCTTTGCTAAGTTTCCTGATGGAGATATTTAAAGTAATTAAACTACCTAGTTTTCTTTTTTGATAGGCAAAAGAGGTGAAGCTGTACCGCACATCCCGATACAGTCCCTGGAGCTCTTTTCCAAAACCTCCGAGCTTTTCAAGCTTGTTCAGAATGCCCATGATGTATCCTGGAAGCTGCCAGTGAATCGGTTGGGTTTGGTCATGTGCTATTGCACACATTTTGTGTCTGTGAATGTTGGTGAGAAAATTGGTCCCAGATGGGTAGGTCATCTTGCACTGTGAAACAGCCTTTCATAAAAGACTGCATGGATCTGATGGAATATCTCTGTGAGAAGAGCACGTGCTTCCTGCCAGCTGCTTAGGGTTCTCCTTCAGTGACGGATTTATGGAAAATAGTGATCCATACTTTTAGCTGAAGGAATGCTGTTTGGTCTATTTAGCATGCCTGTTTTCAGGTCACTGTCCCACATCTCCCTGTGGGATCATACAACAGTTTTGTGGAAAACTCACACCTTTGACTCCAATCTAGAAGGGAGTTGCACAAACATGTGGGCAGGTCATTACTGTGATGCACATGAAAGATGGCTCCTTTGCCAGTAGTAAATTTCCATGTGACCCAAAACCAGGACAAAACAATCTAATGGAATTCTCCTACTCAGGTTGAAGAGGGTGCAATAAGCCTGTGGAACTGGGCTGTGACCAAACACACGGGTTCTGTTGTCAATGATGAGCAAAGAGCTAAATGTATGTATGTGTTCCATACTTTCCTCAATCTGTTTTGTGTGCTGTAGCATGAAAAGGAAACTGCTGCAAGGCATACATGTGGTGCTGTAGACCTATTTGGATCTTTGCAGATAGGGTGTAGACAGAGCAAAATATGCAGCTGGCCTTCAGTAAACAGTTTAGGAAGAAGCATCGCCATGTAATAGTGGTCTTGAGACAGAGGTTCAGTGTTGGTCTTCTTATTCCCCCTTTCCATGCTAGCATCATGTAAAGAGGTGATGTGACTAAAGGAAGCTGTAATTTGCCTTCTGATGCTATGGTTTTAATCTAAAAATTTATGGAAAAAACAGATACAAATTTTAGACTGTTGGTCACTTAATTTACATCAAATGAAATTGTTTATTTAGTGTAACTATCTCATCACATAGAAAAACTAAATCCACTTTTACTTCCCTGCCTTAGCCAGGTACACAGCTGGTGGATTTACTTGGAGGAGGGCTGGGGGGAAGCAGAAGTGAGCTTTTGGTCTTTTCCTGTTCTTCATGTGGTTCTGCAGGATTGCAGCATCTGGCCTGCAATTTTGTTTTGAGGGATTATAGTCAAAATTAGGCATAATCTGCATTATATAAATTTTATCAGGTAAAGGCAAAGGGTAAGCTTGCCCAAAATAAGTAGTAATTGTAGAGTGTAATGTTCTCAGATCTTCTATCACAGCTGAAGGGCCAGGGAGAGGCTTTTTTAAATACATTAAGTGATGTCTTTTCCACCCCTGATGTGTAAAGAAGGCCTGGAAATGTTTTTACTTTGAAAATGTGAAGATTATTAAACTTCATTTCCCTGTCTTGCTGAAGGCTGTTTTGAGGCTCTCAAGACATGCTACTGTAAGCACCTGCAATGTAATTAAGTCTTTTAATACTGTGTATTTAGCTTAAACTCTCTCTAAAGTGTTTAATAGGTGATTCTGAGAATATGTTTGTTTTCCTTACTGCCTGAAAAGCTGTTTTAAGGAACTTGGCTAAAAGTCAGACTGCTTTGACTCTGAAGCTTTCAGATTTTCTCTCTTGTAGTTTAAAGTAGCAAACAGTATTTCAGATACAGAGGGCCTGACTTTCTGAAGGATAAAAACCCCAAAGGAACAGTGAACTCAGGGATGTCTGCCCTGTTTTCTTGCAGTACGGTTTGTTGCCTGCAGGTTGGTGTGCCTTTGTGAAGGCAGTGATCCTCCGGAGGCAACTATCCGAAGACAGATTTTGGTAAGGCCAGTGATGGGTGAGCAGGGAAGTACAGCTGATGCCCAAGGGAAACCTTCAAACCCTGTTTGGGTTGCTTTGGAAGGGGAGTGAAATGGACTTCTGGGGAATAAACACACTGAAGGGAGAACCTGTGTCATCACAGGGATACCTTGCTGAGCCAGTGCAGTTGGCATTACAGCTTTGTCGTATGGAAAGATGTTACACGAGCAGCACGTTCATTTATGTCAGTATCTTACTGTCTAATACGGCACCATGTCTTATGCTGCATGTAAGTATTCAGGCATGAGAAGTGCTTGTCAGAAAGTGGAGAGGTGAAACAGCCCTCTCTTACTTCAGATATGTGCATCAGTGAGATGAGATCTAACATTGCCTTGAAAGTTGTTCCTGAAAGTGCCTCCTTTCACAGAGCACGTATAATTTTCTCCTTCAGATGTCTATGAAAACTGGAAAAGGATGGATAGATATTGGAAAGCCTGATCTTGCTGATGAGTTTCTGGAGATTGCAATGAGTGTAAGTTCTTTTCAAGTTTTGATTTCTTATAAACACATCTCTTTGTAGGTTCCATGGGTGATGCTGCATTTTGTTTTCTAGAGTATAGAAAAACTGTATGCGAAGTTACTTGAGGGGAGCGATGGTGAAGCAGATATTCATGTGCACAAAGCTGATGTGGAGAAGCACCTCTTCAAAGTACTTTCTTATCAGGCTGAATCAGTACGTGTTCTTCCCAATTTTCCTTATAAGTCACAAGGGGTATAGAGGGAAACTCCGACCCAGTTATTAGATGTATGAATACTTGGCACTGAGGACTTGCTGAGGTATATGTTTCCTTCACTCAGATGTAAGATAGCAGATCTCGTGTTTGCATCCAGTGTTGCAATCATGTAATGGTTTTTAATTTGACTCGTTTATTGCAGTCATTTCTGCTAGTTCAGATTTGTTGCTCTCTGATTTGGCTAACATGGCCGTTAAAAGCAAACAGCTGCCTTTCTGAATCAGAAATATGTCAGTTCCAGAGGTGTCCTGTGCTTGGCTGAAGAAGGGGGATAGGGCTGGTGTAGAGCCTGGGTCCTCCAGACTGCATTCACATAGCATGTGCACAGCAAGGCAAGTCCCTTTGGACACTCATCACAGCGAGGCATTGCTGTGCCTGACTAAAGCTTCTGGGTATTTTATCAATGCTACAGAGTATTGCAGACATGAGAGTGCAAATAGAAAACGTAGTTACCTGCATTTGCTGGTCATGGCACTGACCTCAGTATCCAGGAGGACTGTCTCCAAATTCTCAAAAGCTTCACTAAGCAGCCAGAGCAGTGGCCAGAATTTTTAATTTGATCATGGAGGCAAAAGGGACCCTTAAATTATTGGAGAGGGGGTTTAAAATTTGGTGAACTGTTGTGTAACACCTGAACGTTGGAAAGAACAGGGGAGATGAAGATTAGGTACTAAGGAAAAACTCTTCCCTGTGAGGGTGCTGAGGCGCTGGCACAGGGTGCCCAGAGAAGCTGTGGCTGCCCCATCCCTGGCAGTGCTCAAGGCCAGGTTGGACACAGGGGCTTGGAGCAAGCTGCTCCAGTGGAAGGGGTCCCTGCCCATGGCAGAGGCTGGAGCTGGAGGAGCTTTAAGGTCTCTTCCAACCCAAACCAGTCTGGGATTCTATGATTGTATGGTTCTAATTCTTCCATGCATCTGGCCTTTCCACACTACCTAGGGGCTGCTGTGTTTTTCTGGATGTTTTTATCATCCCTCAATATATAGAAATACACAGAATTACTGTAAGGACAGATATCTAATCCCAAACCTGGCCTTACTGAATGTGAAAAACCCAAGTCCTCTTTTAGAGAATCATTATTTTAGTGGAATTTGAAGCCATGTTGCTCAGTACAGTTTTTTAGCATGCTCTACTGCTTTCTTAGGGAGTTGCTCAAGGGGATTTTCAGAAAGCAGTGATGTGTGTGCAGCGCTGCAAAGATATGTTGATGAAATTGCCAAAAGAGGTAAGTGAAATAATCTCTTCTTTATCAGTCCAAACTTGGCAAGTCTGCTTTCCTCTCTGTATGTTCAAGAATGACATATGCCATATAACATTCTGGAAAGTACCCTGAACTATGTTCTCTCTTCTGTGATTGGTTGCTTATTTGAACTTTCTTACTGAAACTTTTGCATGAAACCAGCATTTTTTTTTCTTCAAAGTTATTTTTTTTTGGTTGCTGTTGCTCCTCACAGTTTATAATTCAAACTAGAATGATAAACTCTTCCTAAAGAACGAGAGAAGACAAATCAGCAGGCAGGGTAAAATGATGCCTAGATTGAATGGATCACCTACTCTTGTACAGAACCAGCTGCATTTTACAGCTTGATCTTATATTCATCTGCCTTACTTGTACCCACGTGAACTTTTGTTTGGAGACAGATGGGATAAGCAAAGAGCTGAGTCACTAAGTTTTTGATATGCAAGTCTGTCACTGCTCTCAGTACTAATCTTCATCTTCATGAAGCTGTAGAGCTATGAATGGAGGCTTCCCACTCCACTAAACTGAGGGGTTTTGTAGTTCCTATGTCACAGAACAATGCCCAGAGAAATAAACTCGGGCATATACAGAGAGTTCTTTGTTGGCAAAGATAAAAGAGTAATATGTTTATATCAGAATAAACTTCCCCACACGCATTTTCATTTGCTTGCTTAAATATTTTCCCAGTATTTAGGAAGCATTTTGTTCCTGTCTCTGTGGTACAGGTAATAAAATATAAAGAGTAGACCTGGATTCTGAAAGGGAAATACAGGAAATCTGGTTGGAGTTTAATTGGGTTTTAATGGATTCAACTCCAACCACTTTTAAATTGGGCTGGGTTTTCTTTTTGTGTGATCTGCAGGTACTGTTCAGTGCATTGAGGCAGATGCAGGGGTCCAGCTTTGGTTTGACTCATAAGAGCAAAGCAGAGCTCACTGCATCTTTGTATCATTTCAGTTTAAATGAATGCTTTCTGCTTCAACTCCTCCATTAAATAATATTAAATAATATTAAACTTCTCATGATGAATGCTCCTCACAAACCAGGAGCACTGATGCAGACAAGGAGAGGGTTTCTGATCATGAGTGATACAATTCACTTCTGGCTTAAGGAGTGGTATTTAAACAGTGAGGAGGAAGGAAAGAGCTGGTGATGACCGAGTGACTCTGAACCTTTTTGAGCACTAGGTAGCCCTCAGTCCTTGGCCCTTCTAGGCTCCTGTTGTACCAGAGAGCCCTTGCAGAGTGTCACAAGGAGGTGGTTGTGTTATGGTACCACCGAGCAGCTGGAGAGGATTTGCAGCTTGTGGGTCATCAGTGATGTATGAAATGTAACTGACCTCTTGCCCTGTAGGTGAAATGCTGGAATTGTTCCAAACACTTGTTCAGAGAGGTGCCAGGTTTCTGGGGATATTTAGTGTTAGGCTTGACACCTGGAACACAGTCATTCACTGAAATAGGATTTTAATTATCATTTGAAATACTTCTTTTCCAAGCATGCAGGTAAGTGTCTGGGATATGCCACAGTACGCCTACAGCATTATTGCATGGAACCCTCTCAGTACAGAGACCTTTCTGCTCTGGAAAGAGGATGTTCACAAATGAACTAATGAAGATAAGGGTTTCACATCTGAGAGCGATGGGGGTTTGGTTCATGCATCTGCACCTGTGCTTTTGTCTCTGGATTGAAAGGAGAGAACGAATTTGAAGCAAGATGCTGTGCTACCTCTCTCATTTTTGCCTGAGGATTTGAAATCTGGAGTCACTTGCAAGAAGCATCATTTATACTCAGAAAAGCAAGTTACTGTGGAGGCAAAATGGATGTAAACAATGGCAGCCTGTTAGCATTATAAAATGTATTTTCTGTCTCTTTGGACAACATATGACAGCTGCAGATCGTTTTGGAGGAAAGACAAGTTGTTATGAACAGACATTGTCAGGGCTGACTGATTTAAGTACAGTGCTCTGAATAGACAAGCATTCAAAACCAGTTTTCTCCTAAGACCTGTAATGTCAATGAGTTTAACCCCAAAGAGACCTGCTGGGAAGGAGCCTTCCATGGGAGAAGTACAACACTGAACTCTAGAAAGCTGCTTTTGTTGTTTAAAAAAATGAAGTAGCAATATTCCAGTTTCCCCCTCTCAAGTTTTAACATCTGTTGTTTGGTTTACAGCTCTAGTGCCTTCAGCATGGTTTCTTGAGGAACTGTTCTATCTTTTGTGCTTCAAGAATCCTGCTGGTTTGCGTGTTCTGGACTGGTTACTGATGCTTCACTTTCCCACACAGTTATGATTCTGTTTTAGTCATGTTCAGTATCCCCTTGTATAAGGTCAGAAGTGGTAACTGGATATATCTTTGAAGTAAAGTGCATTTTAAAGAGCTCTCATGATCCTATGAGAACATTATAGAAAGAGGAGTCTTTCATTACAGACCTGTTACTTGTCAATCCTCTGTTACAATTTTGGAGTGGAAACCTATGAACTGAAGAGGTATGAACAGAGCTCCTTCTGGCTCAGGTAATGTGCAGAGGCAAACAAAATCCTGCTTTTGAGTCGTACAAAAGTCAGGGGAAGGGAAGGGGCAAGGGAGAAGTAGAGGTTTAAAAATGTGAGAATACAAGTTTTTACCTGACAAATGAGCTGAGCAGGTACTTAGTGACTGTCTTATTCTGGTGCCTAACGTTTGTATCTGCTGTCCACATGGATTTTCATGTCATTAGAACGAAAGTTGTCTTTCCATGGTTCTCATCAATTCTCTCCCTAACACTTCTTTCAAAGTGAAGAGGCTGTTCCCAGTTCTTGTGCTATTCATAAATGGTAGTAAAGGGATTTGAAAACTTTGGAAAAGAGAGGACAAATTATTTGGAATGGTTAAAAATGGTTTTGCTTTAAATAACATTTGAATTTCTCATAAAGAAGGTGCTTCATTGAGAGTAAGTCCTTGACTGATGAAACATCAAGGTGAAAAGGAGTAGTTAGAGGGGGTTTGGGTAGGATCCAAGTAAGTAATGAGGTACTACTAAGGAATGAAAAAAGTAGGGTATGGGGAGGAGTATCCTCATGTTACGGCCACAGCCTCAGCTCAGAAAATTTGTTCTTATTTCTTCCTGTTCTTTTTCTTTCAAATTGTCAGAAAAACTGAATGGCAACAGAGCACATTCAGAATAGCTATGGTCATGTATGTTGTCAAAGAGCGTTTGTAGAAATGCTTAGAAAGCTGATGCTGTGGAGATTCTGTTTTGTTCTTGTGGTGCTGATGGCAGAATTTGAGGAGGAAATAACCTTTCCAGGTTGCAAGTAATTATCTGGAGAAAGAGCTGTGGCTCCATCTAGTGGGCTCCGACTTTCCTGTACTGAGCGTATATTGCGTTAGGAAACAAATCCCAGTTATTGCTTTTTCTTTCTATCAGTTCTTCATTCGCAGCATTTTCCATCGAATCTGCTTTTGAGGAATTACCAACGTGTTTTCCCCCAGGTGGTCCTTTGTGCTGTCATTTAACTTCCAGGCAGAGTGGGGAATCATGACTCCAGGTTCTGTTTCTGTCTCTGCTATTGATTTGCTGTGATCTTGAGAGCACAGTATCACAGTATCACAGTATGTTAGAGATTGGAAGGGACCTCAAAAGATCATCATCTCATGTATAATTTTGTGTACGACTGTATTATGTGTGATTCGGAGAAAACTCCAGGAACAAACTTGCCAACAAGGTTTTCAAGCTGACAAGCAGGTATTCTTTATTGCGGCGCCGGGAGGCACGGGGGTAACTCCTCCTAACGTGTGTCCCCATATTGCTACACAAGCCATCCTTATATAGTCCCTGGGCATACATACATATTCATGAGGCTACGTATGGATTCCATCATTTTCCAGAGAGTTCCCCGCATGCGTACAGAATTGTGGTGGTGGTCTCTGAGGGGCCTTTACTTCTTCCAACAATCTTCATCGCTTCTGGCAGCCTTTGGAGCACGCGCAGTAGATGCTCATACCAGTTTAATTGGTTCCTTAGCACCAGAGACATAATAATCCTCCTATCCTCCTACTTATCAGTTAGTTTCACTGTGGCCCATCCTGGACACCTGCAGTTCCCAGATACCCCTTATCCCTGTGTCCTGTTCTTCTAGACTGTTTTTCTTAAAACTAGGCTAACTATAATGATTTATCTTGTGAGAATTCTCAGTATATTCTCTAGCTGTACTCTATTTTTTTTTCTTGTTTATCCTGCACCTCAGTAATTTTCCATTGCTACTGTTACAAAGCCATCAAACTTAACATTACTTAAAACTGATTCTAAAGGTTTATATATTCCATTTTGTGATTTTGTGCCCCTTTGTCTCAAATTCCCCCCTTTTTCTATCCTTTTGCAAATTCTTTTGCAACATTTTATATATTACCATTACCATCAAGAGTCTTTTTGAAATAATTTCCCGTTTCTACCTGGTGCTTAATTTCATTCCTTTTCCAATCTTCATAATTTATCATAGCCCCTTTACAACACCAGAGGGAACACTGTATCATACCACAAGTAATCAATATTAAAATAATTAACACCAATATTCCTGCAACCAGTTGCCTCAACCAGGAGAGATTGGGTAACCATGAAGTGAACTTTCTCCATGTTTCTTCAAAACCCCAGGAGGTGTCATCCATGGCCATTTCATGAAATATCTTAGTTTGTTTCCAAATTTCCTCCAGATCTGTTTCAGTTCTGCCATTTTGGCTATATAGGAGCAACAGCTTTCATTCATGATGGAACAAACCCTTCCTTGTGATGCCAGTAACATGTCTAGAGCCATTCGGTTTTGTAGACAGGCTGGTTATCTCTTGTTGTTCTGCCTGGATTATATAATGTTTTTGCTTCCCATTTCCTCTATGGTTGCCGAGATATTTACAATTGCCTTCTCTAATTCACTTACTGCCAAAGATGGAATTAGCCCTCTTACAAAACTATGAAATGAGTTGTGCTGTTCAATAATAGGGTTAAACCCTCACTTAGTTTGTTTAGCAAAACTTCTAATCCAAGTCCCAGAAGGGTACCTGTTGATAATAGTAAAATTGGGTATTACAGCACCTAAGGTGCATGCCCCCTTCCAGTTGGGGGTAGAATCTTACAAGCATTTTTTCCACATAACCAATACCATCCTTTCCCTTTAAGAACGGGCCATCACTGAACTATGATACCATCTATATTAATTGTATGATTGCAATTTGAATGGTGACCTACATCTGTGGCATTTAAACAAGCAAAATTTCTTACCCTGGTTTCTGATGTAATACATCTTTGTGCACAGGTATAACATTTATTACCTGGGTTAGGATTAACTATCCCAAATGTTAACCTTTCCTTCGAATACAGATTGCTAGTATTCACCCACAAATTTGTCCATAAGACAGTGTTAGGTATTGGAACTCCAGTTAATGGGAGATCCAGGCTTTCTCCTGATTTAGGCAACTGTGCACACACCCAACAGTCACTGTGATTAAAAACATTAGTAACATTCTGCACTGATTTTAGGTATAAGTTCTGGTCCCAAGCTTGTGTGCCAGTTATCATATGAGTCCAAATTATGATCAATCAGGTGAGATTGAGAACACTTGCTTCTTCAAGACCCCTATAGTTAAAACTGATAAAGCCTACTGAAACGTTTGACCAGATGTTGCAGAAGGTGGTGCAGAGGCTGGAGAAGGTGATCGAGTACAATTTTTAATGTGAGGATTTAGAAAGAACACAACATTTTCTGTTCTCCAGTAAGTACTGAGATCAGTTTGCATGATTTCTGTGACTTCTAACTGGTTAAGAAGTGGGAAAGGACAAGAATGTTGTGCATGTCAAAAGACTGGCTGAATTTCTCTCTGTTCTCTCGTTTAATCCTAATTTTTGCTTATCATTGATAGCCAGAGCTATGACATTGGGAAGATGGACATAAAATATTCTCTTGGCAAAGAAATGCAGGTAAGAAAGAGAGAAGTTGCTTTTTACCAGTAGCAGGATTTTGTTACCCTGACTGCACTGTATCATCGGCCTCTACTGTGCCAAACCTGACCAGTGATCCTTTGGCCTCCTCTTTAGTACTATCTGCCAGGAAGTCTGGCAGAGTTGCAAGTTCAGTTGCTGTGAGTGTCAGTCTGAGAGTTCAGTCCCTGATGGGTGCCCTACTACTTTTTGAATACTACTTGAATCTACTTTTTCACAGAAATTAAACTGTAGAGAGTAAGGCTGAAGTAGAGCCTGAATGGCCATCTCTTCTTCCCTTTCTTCTTTCAAGGCATTATCAGTTACATTGGTGTCATTTCTGATAGATGTTTTTCTGCCACATTCATAAGCCTTACTACTCCTTTTACTACCCACAGTGGATATGGAGAAGATTTTAATCTCTTCCTCTTTATATAAATCACTTATTTGAAGGCAGTTATCACATGTCTTTGTGATGGTGGTGTTTGTTTATTTGTTTTCATCTCAGTGAAGTTTGTGCCTCTTATTCCTCCAATTTCTTATTTCAGTCTGTTTTTCCAGACCTCTGATTTTCCCTGCTACCCTTCTGTTCTCCTCTGAACTCTAGTTGATTCATGTCATGTGTGAGTTGCTGTGCTGAAGATTGGATGCACTTCAGAACTGAGCAATCACCTGATATGTCTGATACCAGGCAGGCGTTCTTTTGACTCAAAGAACTTTTATTTTTCATGATCTTATGTTTTAAGTCTTGTATCCATCTGTATGTTTGTGCATGGCTATATTTTTTTCTCTATTCACATGGCATTTAAACTTCCAGTTTGTTTTTCTTTCCAGGCTAAAGTGCTGCGGTTGTTGGCTACAGCCTATTTCGAGTGGGATTGCAGTCTGTATCTTGACAAGGCATTGAAAGCTGTGAGCTTGGCAAATCAGGTAGTGACGTGTTGTTGTATTTATCGTGTGTAATAGTTAAAACTCAAGCATTTATCAACACAATAATATGGACCACATGAATGGTGTGTTGTCCTTGACATCAGATGGACGTCTGTTTGCTTTGTGTTTGGTTTTCATACTCATAAGTATGTTTTGGCACTCCCAGCTTTTTAATAGAGAAATACTTCTTTGCATGTAGATGTAGAGCTGTCTTGGTGCCTTATGTTAATAGTGAGCTCCTTTGACGATGATATGGCTAAAATTTCTCTGGCATATTATAACCCAAAGCAACGGTTTTGAGCTCTGCATTTTGAGTCCCTGTCTTATCGATACAAATGTTTAAGTGCCAAACAGTGTTCAGTTTGAAAGCCATGCTACTACATCAGTCTTATTTTAAACAACTCAGTTAGCTGTTGCACCTTACTAACATGACTGTGTTCCTTCTGGAACCTGACAAATGAGCTGTGTAAACATACCAGCTACCCTGAAGAAAGTTCATCTATATCTAAGCAGTCTCTGCAGTGAGGTTTCTTGCTCTTGCACAGACTCTGTTTCCCGTATAAAGACTTGAATTAATTTTATGCTTCTAACTCCTCAGGTTAGAGTAACTTAAATTTGAAAGTTTTGTGCTTGTCTTTGGCCATTTTACAATTTCCACGACCTCTTTCATGCAAACCAAGTTTGAAGAACAAAATCCCGTTTTAAATGAAAGCTCAAATTCAGTTTTCTACTTGCTGTTAAAACTTACACAGAGATGATGATGCATGTGCTCATGAGATGAGGGTAAAAGACAATGTATTTTAATCATTCAAATAATGCTACTGTAGTACCTGAGGCCTCTGCAGGTTTTACTGTATTTACTTTTGCAAAACCTTTTGAGGTGGAAGTGTTTTTATAACCATTTTTGCTAATGTGTGCTTTGATATTGTATGAGGGTATGGTAAACTAGGAGAAAATGTTTATTCTAGAGTCTGAAATGTGCAGTGTTTCAAGGAGAACTGTAGCATACAGGCTTCATTATAGCCATTTGCACCCATTATTGTTCTTTCCTAAATTTTGTATTATTATAAGCTACTTTGAATTCTGCTTATATTAATTCCAGACTAATCCAGGCAGTTCACACATAGACAAGCAGGAAATGTTTCTATCATTCAATATTGTTCAGCTTTCTATTTAAAAGTATTGGAAATGGGCAACAGCAAATTGGGAATCATGTGTCTCTTGCTTTCATTGTCCTTGTAGTCTTTTAACAGTATAGCAATAAATAATACAGATGCACATTGCATTTAAGAAGAAAATATTACCAGTTGCCTGCCTATTGGTTCCGTTATTAAACCAGAAAAAGGATACAGCAGACTTTCTGTGGTTTAGTGATACTTGTGTGGATTAGGAATGTGCTGGACTCTCATGGGATCTGTATTCTACAACCAGCTGGCCAAGTAATGTGTTGTGTATTGTTGTGCAGGAGGATTTGCATCCAGCAGGGTTCTTCTTGAAAGTGAAAATCCTTCTTAAAAGTGGAGCACCAGATGAAGATATCAACTCAGGTATCCTGGCTCTGTATAGGCTTCATATGAAGGTCATACTGTACCAGGGCCAAGAAATAGCTCAAGCTGTAAATAGGAAAGACAGAAAAATATATCCCTTTCTGGTGTGTTTTAGAGGAATCTTCATTAGTTAAATATTGCTCTGGTTTTGAAGTGTGAGACCTAGTAGTCAGTGTTCACAGAGGATTTATCCAGGTGATAATATAAGTTTGAATTAAGCATTGTTTTATTATTGTTGGGGTTTAAACTGATCTGCTGGAAACAGGGAAGACTCTGAAGCCTCTTAGAATGAAGACAGTGAAAATACAGCAATGTAAAGGCATGGCTTATTTTAGACATAGGCCACAGGTTACTCAGGAAGGGTGAAGGTGGATTGTTTCTCACACGGACAGCATGGAAGAAAGGCTTGTGAAGCACTGCTACGCTGCGTGTGTGATTATGCAGATTTTGGCCAAGAGAGATGAAGTGCTCAGCAGTGTGTTGTTATAAACCCATGTTACCAGTTTAATTTACCTAGGGCAAATAAGCTCTTTTCTCCTTATCCCTCAAACTTGCCATTTGAAGAGAACTGATTTTTCCATAGGCATGAGAGAAGAAAGGTTTTTTGGGCACTTTAATATAGAAAGGAGAAATTTATTTCCCGAAGTAATGAAATCTTAAGGAAGAGAGGCTCTGTATGGTTGGAAAGCATCAGATGCGTAACAAATCCTATGAGAAATAAATGTAGGATGAGATGAGGAGTTTCTTGCAGAGAGTGGAATGGTTTGGATGTTGCCAGACCAACAGGACTGTGAATTCCATTTCACATTGCTCCTGGGAAATTTCAGCCAGCTTTCCAGTGGACAGTTGTTCAAAGCTTACCACTGCAACAGTTGGCTTCTGTTGTGCCATTGGAATTGTGAAGCCATGGTGCTATCACAGCATGCTCACCTTATGTTAGTACCCCTAAGACTCAAGTCAGTTTTGCAGCATGTTCACTAATGAGCTGCCTGGTGTGGCTGGCAGGAGGGTGTTGGCCTATGCACTGCAGCTTCTCTGTCCCTTGAGTGAAGGCTCCTGCCAAGTTTTAGGCATTTGACTAAAACCTTATGTTGTGCATTTGTACACAGGTGCCTTAGAAATGCTTCCTTTAACAACAGCTCTTACAGTCATGTCCTGTGTGTTCCTTCTCTGATCTCATCCAAGCTACAAACGTCTAAATCTTGCTATTAACCATCCAGCACAGTCTAGCAATTTTTGAGCTGTATCTGAGTGGTCTAAAACTGATACCTGCTTATCAGCAATTTGACAGCTGATGCTAAAGGCATTAGGCTTAAGTAGTTCCCATTGCAGTGTGAGCACTGACCTCACTCTTAAGTAGTTCCTGCTGGGTAAGGATGAGTCATTTTGATGGAAAGCAGCTTGAGGCAAAAGTTTGCGCTACTAATGCCTCTGCTGTTGCTGTTCAAAGAGACACAGGGACAGAATTCCTGGGTTCTCGGTCTGTCACTTGTCTGTAGTACTACAGGAGCTGTACAGTGAAAGGAAACTCAAAGCATTATAGACACCTTTTAATCCTCCTTTGGTTTTAGAACTATTACATTGGGGGTTTTATTCCAAAGAAGTTGTAAGAGGTAAATGATAAATTGAGCAGGTAAGTGTCCAGGTTGGTAAGTAATCTCTGCTGCTCTGTTCTGTCTAGTTGTTGCAGAATTTCTGCACCATGAGATGTCTTTAGACTTTTGCCTGAATACTGCCAAACTGCTGCTGGAGCATGGAAGGTATGAGAGCATCACTAAGTGGGGTGAACACAATATTTGGGCTTCATGATGTTCTTTTATAAGCAAATAACATCTGTTATACATTGATGCTTTTTTAAAATAAAACCTCACAGAAGAAAGAACCCTAGAATAATTGGCAAACAGTGTAAGGGTGAGCAAGCTCCTGCAAAACAACTTGAAGTTGACATTTCACGCTGTTGAATGCTCCATCGTGATTGCTTATGGGTATGCTTGCATATTGCAGTAAATTCTTACTCTTTCATTGTGAGGACTAAACTCTCATGAATACTGTGAAACAAGCATGTGCTGCTATGAAGTCAGAACTAAATAGATGAACTGCAGTAAATTCACACCTTAACTCACTCTGTCTGTGTGATTGCCAGTAGTGTTAATGAGAAACACGCTGTATGGCGTGAATATGTTACTCTTTAAAATGGAAAATTAACAGCTCTTCTTGTGCAGCCTCTTAAAACTGCATCTGTGTGAATAGGGAATCAGTTGGTTTTGACTTTCTGAAGTCTGTTTCTGAACGATTTGAATCTTCACCTAACCATGGAAGAATTACCCTGCTCCACATTGAGTTCCTGCTGCAGAGTAAGAGAGAGCTGCTTGCTAAGCAGAAGGTTGAAGAAGTTATTATAGGTCTGTATCCATCTTTTGCTGCTGTTTACTGAAAGCTGGATTTAGGTGACTGAAGTCTCGAATTCTGATTTTCACTTTTATTTTGGTTTATTCTTGTCTTTCTTCCTATTTGTGTCTGTTTTCCCTTATTTCCTATTTCCCTTGTTTCTTCTATATGTCAGTTCTCCACTTCCATCATGAATGACAGTCATGGTAAAGCTCAGTTGTAAATTCACTTGCTCCTTCTTAGTGTAGATTGTGTGTGGCTGATACATGTGGGATTAGAAATATTTACCAGAGTTCTGTGTAATGTTAATACTTTGTCCCTTCAGCCCAATGTATTTCTGTCAGTATTAAACCATGTTGCATATCCTTCTTTAAGCACCTAAATAACAGTCTCTTTTTCAGGTGTCTTGCACCTGTAACACTAATATTTTTTGACTGTCAGATCTGCTGGAAATCAGACCATATTTTATGTAACATCCAGGGAGTGCAAGAGCTACATTTGCACTGTTCAAGCATGAGAACAGTTTTCTGTTATCCACTGTATTTGGTGTGGGTTTGGTTTTTGTTTGCTTGTTTGTGGTTTGGTTTTGGTTTATTTGTTTCTTTGCTTTTCCCCCAGCAGCAACACTGGGTCTTGGCTGAACTATTGCTGGGTTGGTGTTTCTTTCTTGTATCATAGAATCATGTAATCCCAGGCTGGTTTGTGTTGAAGGGACCTTAAAGCTCCTCCGGCTCCAACCCCTGCCACAGGCAGGGACCCCTTCCACTGGAGCAGCTTGCTCCAAGCCCCTGTGTCCAACCTGGCCTTGAGCACTGCCAGGGATGGGGCAGCCACAGCTTCTCTGGGCACCCTGTGCCAGCGCCTCAGCACCCTCACAGGGAAGAGCTTCTGCCTAAGAGCTCAGCTCAGTCTCCCCTCGGGCAGGTTCAAGCCATTCCCCTTGGCCTGTCCCTACATCCCTTGTCCAAAGCCTCTCTCCAGGTTTCTTGTAGGCCCCCTTGGAAGACTCTTACAAGGTTATTGTAGGCTGTGGGACAGTATTTATCAGAGAGTTCTCAGTTGCTTCTCAGTGTGCTTCTTAAAAGTTCTTGTAAAGTGATGATTTGCAGTATCTTTTCAGGTCATTATACTGGGAAACAGCTGTTGCCTGAAGCCTTGAACCGGCTGCACATCATCTTGTGGGACATGGCTGCCAAACATTACGAGGTTTGGGACCAAACAGTAGCATTATTTATATGACTGAAAATGAAGATCTGCTTTTTCTGACCTCTTTGGTGTGTCTGGTTTTGGTTGGAGTGTGAACTGTTACTGGGAATCCTGTTCCAGTTGGCACTGGTTTTATTTTCAGCCAGCTGGGTGCTGTTTTCCATTACAACATCAAGTTTCAGGTAGCCTCATCTTTAGGTTTGTACCTGGGAACAGTTATGACCAGAACTGATCAGCCAAGGAACCTGTGCAGCCCAGCATTCCGGTTCTGCCCTGGGAATGCTGCAAAAACCTGAAAATATTCTTTACATTGAGCTGGTTTACAATCTTTACTCTCTGGTGGTCGGTTGCTTGTGTAAGGAGCGTGTGCCTGTATCATTTGTACATTGATTTTAGCTTCTGTAAAGTAGTTTTGGATGCTTACATTGCATCTTAGTTCATGTACATTCTTCCTGTGAGTGTGTATAAGCTCAGTTATTTGAAAGCAGATACCTTCTTATTCCTTCAGTATTTGGGGGAGATGAGCTTATGTTCTGCTCTTGTATTTCTGTCATATGCTTGTTGAATATAAAGACAAAACGTGGCGTTTCATTACCTCTCCTCTGTGTAGTCATGAAGGAATTTTGCTGATGACACAGCTTCCTTTCTCCTTCTTTTAAACTAAACTCTCTGAATTAGAACTATAATTGGGAGGACCAATTAGAACTATAGTTGGGAGTACCATGTTCAGCAGAGTATCATCAAAGGTCTCAATCTAAACAGGATAAGCATTTTTGTCTTTTTCTCCTAGTTTCAGTTGCCTTGTATTGTGAGCAGAGAGGGCTTTTGAAATAATAGTTCTATTTTGTATTTAGTCCGAGGAATGTCCTTTCTGGGTCTGATGGATGACCCATTCATTCCAGTGTCCTGTCTTTGAGAATGGCCATAGAATAAGGGAAGAATAGGAAGAGGTAAAGGGGCAGTTCTACAGTGAATGTTACCTGTAGAGTACTCTTCTAGGAGAAGGCTTGCACTGCAATGTATTTGATTATCCTAATTTGGACAGTTTGATCACCCCAATAAGGGTGTTTGTTTGTTTGACTATCATTCCCCAGGCAAAAAGCTATTCTGAAGCTCTTCACTGGTACAATTATTCTGTCAGCTTCTACACCCCTGGGCAGATAGATCAGAACTTGGCTAAGCTGCAGAGGAACATGGCTTCTTGCTATCTTCACCTGAAACAAGTTGACAAGGTACAAACATATGTATAGATACTGATTTATTTGTGTTGGGTTTATTTTTGTAGCTATGTCATTATCACAGACTGGTTTGGGTGGGAAGGGACCTTCAAAGCTCATCCAGTCCAGCCCCTGCCATGGGCAGGGACATGTTCAACCAGACCAGGTTGCTCAGAACCACATCCAGCCTGGCCTGCAATGTCTCCAGGGATGGGGCATCCACCACCTCTCTGGGCACCCTGTGCCAGGATTTACCACCCTCGCTGTACAAAGGTTCTTCCTCATGTCCAGCGTGCATCTCCCTCTTTTAGTTTAAACCCAGCAGCCCTCGTCCTGCCACAACAGGCCCTCCTGAAAAGTCACTTCGTTTATCTTTTTAGCTCTGTTCTGTTGCAAATTATGTCACTGATTTCTAAGTGCCATTATACTGATTTCCTTTAATCTCTTCTGTGAATAGGCTAAAGAGGCAGTTAAAGAAGCAGAGAGATGTGATCCAAACAGCATCTTTACTAAATTCAGTGTCTATAAAATTGCAGTGATGGAGAAAGATACTAATAAAGGTAGAACTTGGAAAATAAGGAGTTCACTACAAGGAACAGAAGTACTGAATAGATTAGAAAATACCAAGCAGATTTGGACTGTTCTTCTTGAAAAAAACACCATAGAGGGTAGCTAGAAGGGTCTGTAGAGTCACTGAAACTGTCAGGCTGTAGATTTCAACTGACAGTGGGATTCTTTGTACACACAATATATAATATGCAGAGTCCATTGCCATTGCTGATACTGTCTGGATGGAGCCTCTGTCTGGGAAGCTTCTAACCTTTTCATAGACAGAAGCTATAGCAGCATCCCAGGGTGAGCATCGTTGTAGACTTACTGGCTCAAGTATTCTTATGTGTGCATATACAACATAAAAAAAAGGATGCTGAGCTAAATGAACCTTAACCATTATTGCTGCTCTTAGTTTCTCTGGACAAGTAGAGCCTGAAGTTACCAGAAAATACATGAATTACTGCAATGAATTCCAGCATGACGTATCTGTAGACTTTCTTCTTAATAATGAGTCCTGCTATTTGATATTTTAATGAGAACCTTAGCTGAAGTAGTGAAAATTAAGAACTACAGTCTATACTTGCTTAGAACACAGAGTAACGTGCAGAGCTTATTTTCTGATGAATTCTGTGCCAATTAATTCTTCTCTGTACATTTTTTTAATGACAGCTTAATTTGTTCTCATACTATAGAGTGGGAACCACAGTACAGTGTGAACATAAAAGCAGCAGCACACTTGCTATAAGCCAAGATGTGGGAGCTTGGAATCATGCCCAGACAATGTAGTAGAGAAAGTCTTCTGTCTTTGGTGACAGTTATTTAGCAGAACAAAATGAAGGATGTGAGCTAGTTTAATTTGTATGGCATCCTTGTTTCCTTAGATTAGGAGCTTGAAAAGCCTTTTGGCACCTCTCGAGGAAGAAACACATAATTGTGGGGAAGTGCTGCTGTGGTCAGGTTTTCTTGTCTTGGTTTTTCATATTAAAAACATTACAGCCTTTCGGAAGTCATTGCTAACATCTCATTAAAGCAGTGGAACTTTGCACCTTCCAGTTGCTTCTACAAAAAGACATTTAAATGTTTCCTATGTATATTTCAGCTGTGGAAGCAGTTATTGAAATGGGGAAGCTAGCAGAAAAGTCATCTCAACATGAAGACAAGCTGAAAGGGGAGGAAAATACAGGCACTAACCTCCTGAGTTTAGCTGCCCAGATTGCTTTAGAGGTAGATAACATTGTCTTTGCTTTATTGCTGTAAGTAGGACAGCTCTAACCTGGCTTACTTTTAGTATTTCAATGTCTTTCATGCATTTTGAAGTATTTCATGCTTCCAAGGTACTCAAATGTGTTGTGTAATGCAAAGTAGAAATTGGGGTTTTGGGTTTTTTTGGTAGTAACTGAGGTAATGCAGTTTATCCAAAGCATGTTTTAATTTCTTTTCAGAATGAGCAGCAAGTTGTGGCCATCAAAGCCTTGGAGTATCTGGCTGAACATTTACAAGACTGCCGACAATTATTTGCAGCTTTAAAGTGAGAATTGAATGTATTTATAAGCAAAGATATTTTTTCTGCTTTCTTTTCAAAAAGACTATATTATATTGAGGAAGGTGGTAAACAGTAGGTGAGAGATTAGTTATCAGTCTTTTTGCTGCTGCAGATATATCTGAAGCCTGAACTTTGACATCTACCAGTGTTCCAAGTCCTTCTCAAGCAAATAGCATTAGTTGCTCTGAATTTTAGGATTACCTTGTGAACAGATGAGCAACAGCACTCTAATGAGATTCCAGTGATATATTTGGTGAAAATACCAGTTTGTATCATCTGATGGAGCAGTATTTTACGAAATACTCCATCATGTTTAGAACAACAAATACTGTGACAGATGTATTTATTCCCATATTTGCTTAAAACCTGTGTTAAAGTACATTTATTTACTTACTGTTCCATGAGTTAATAAAGTGATTTATAAATTAAGGCAGTAGGGTGAAAAACAGTATAATATTCTCAGTTTGACACTTTGAATTCTTCTGTGAGTTTCATGGGCTGCTAGCATATGGAAAAAGAGTGGGATCCTTTCTGGAAAATTAGGACAAAGCACACTGTTGGAAAAAAGTCTTGTTTCTTCGTTGCTTGTTTTCCTCGTGTTTAGATGTTTGGTTCGTCTTATGTTGTCAAAGGTCATGGCAGAAAATGAAGAGAAAAGGTGAGTCCATTTGCAAAATCACTTTCTGATGGTGGATGTGTTGTACAGATGAGGTAATATTTTCTTGCTGGGCTTATTTTCTTGTGGAGTACGTGAGAGATCAGTTTTTGTGCTGGTAAAAAGTCCACCCAGATGACTTCCCAACTTTTATTAATGTGTAAGAATGTCAGGAGTGTTTGGTGGGGAAGGTGGCCTAAGGCACTTTGGCACTGGGATATGGTATCTTTCTGAAGTTCTGAGTGAGAACTTCAGAGTGGGGCTTCCCTTGCTGAGGAGCAGCCACTTTGCAAATGGTGTGTTAGCTTAGGAGAACTGTACTGCAGCGTTTTGACTGTTAAGGAAACAGTGCAGTGTGAGTGGGGTTTGAAGTTTAACCTGCAGCTCCAGCCACTGAGAGAATCTCCTACTGCATTTCTGCAACAACCTTCACTGCTGCAGCTTGGTCCTTCAGTACCCTTGCATCTTCAAATGGTGAAAGTTTCTAATGCCCAAGGTGTTTGTTAGGGGAACAATTGTTATATCCATAGTTATGGAGATGTGTTCAACATAAATAATGTGTTCTGTTGTAAGAAACTTAATGGAACGATTTCTAAAACTTAATTTTTCCTCCATCCTAGAGATGAAGATATCAACTCGATGCTTACTTACTTGACTTTGGGTATGCTTTTGTTTCCTTACTTTTTCTGTAGTTTTTCCATCTGTGAACATTTTATTATATGATTAGGTCCATACCAACCAAGTGTTTACATTCCCTGTTTCAGTCCAGGTTCCCAACTGTGAAATCAGTGGAAATTCAGACTGGAGATTCAACAGTGCTGTGAAGTTGGATCTCGGTGTTAGAGGGTTTTGCTATGGAAAGCTTGCAAGCTGGTGCTGGGAAAGCTTTGGAAAAGCCTGTACTTGGGAGCTTTTGTCAGGCAAAGGGACAGTTTCTTTCAGGCAGTTTCCCTTTAATCCTTCATAAGGCCATGCATGCAAACAACAGATATTTGGGCACAAGCCACAACCTGGGTGGCCTCAAGTGACAGTCTGTTACTCTTGAGTGCACTGGCAGGGACAAGGTTAGTATCTCTAGCAGCAGGGCCACCACAAAAGGAAGAAGTTTGGTTTTGTAAACTGAATTAATGGGGTAACTTTCTATGACATTAATTGACAGTGGTGCCTTTGCTGTTCCTGCTGTTCAAAAGGGAGCAGTTTTTAAATGAAGGTAATGGTTTGGGTTTGGTTTTTTTGGTGCCCTGGAAGGCCTAGAAACCTGCAACCTGCTGAATGGTGGGAGAGGCCTGGTCAAAATGGGTTCCCTCTTTAAAGCTGTGCTGCCTATTGAAAAAGAATTGTCTGTTTGCGAGGTACAGGAGTTTTACAGAGGCCTTTCCTCCATCACAAGAAAGATTTACTTTCCCAAGATCTTTTCTGATCTTTGGGCAAGAAAGTCAATGAGATTGTAAGAGCTTTTGATACACTTGCTATTCCTTCTGCAACTAGGAGAGTATGGAAGCTAGAATTGAATGAATTCCAGGTTCCTTGCAGAAAGGCCTCAAACCTGTTATTCAGTTTAAAACCCCTCAACTTTTTGTGTAATTAAGTAAACCTCCTCTGCATTATGCTTCAGTGTCAGTACACTTTGAAAAGGCAGAACTTGTTGGCAGCCTTATCTGTCTTACCTAAAATGCTGTTTGAGGAACTATTTGATGTATTTATATCCTCTCTGGTCAAGCATGTTAGATGTAAGAATTAACTCTTGCCCAGGAACTACATGGGAGTTTTGGAAACTTCTGTTTTGTAGTGCAGTTACCAGGCTTGGAAATGTTTTTCTTTTGCTCAGAAGGTGTTACTGATCTCTTGAACACATTTTTTGCAGCTCACAAGAGACTTGCTGAGTCTTTCACAGATGAAAAGCTTACAGGGGACATGAAGGTCCTCGAAGCTCACTGGTTTAGGAAAGTTGGTAGGTTGGCACTCCCAAAACCTAAACTGAATCCCCTCCACCTCCACTCAGCCAGGCCTTGAGGAAGAAAGAAGTGCTTAAGGATGTAGTAAATTGGTAAAACTTGTCACCTGCCTTAGCTAGTCTGAAAGTTCTGCTGCATTTCCTGTCTTCTGAAACTATCTGGTATGGTTCATGTTTTACATTAGTTCTCAAGACAAAGACTCACGCACGCTCTGTTTGACTGATGAGAGAGCTGATGCGTTATTTCCTTCACTACAGGAATTGTACCTGTCCATGATACAACTCTGAAGAGTTCACCATTTTTCTCTTAGCCTTTCACTACCAAGACTGTTACAGAAGTAAATTAAAACCAGGCAAACAGAAAGAATAATGGTTTTCTTCAGTGTCTAAAAAAACTTGCTGCTAAGAGCAATGAAAGTCCCCTTACTGCCCATTGAATTGTAGAATGAACTGCCTGTAACTGGGGATTAGATGGGCATACCTGTAATGCTGAAGATTTGTACTCTAGCCTTCATTTTTCATGTCTTTGCTAGCTTGGAACCTGGCTGTACAGCTCAAGGGCTGCCCTGGAAAGATGAGGGATTTTTTCCTACTGTCATTCAAGGTATGTACTCTTGCTGATAGTATCTCTGACTGAGGAATAGTCACCTGCCCAGATCTGTTGGAATATCTTCCTGTGTAATTCTAAAGTAAAATTGCAGTATGATTATATAGTTATGACTAGTTACTGAAAGTGTCATAGAGGAGACTCAGCAATCATCTATCCATGATTAAATTGCTTTTTATGGGCTCAATTCTCATAATCTTTCCCTGTTTTTGGTGCCAGTTGTCCCAGTTTTGTCCTTCAGACAAAGCTGTTCTAATTGCCCAGAAGACATGCCTGTTAATGGCAGCTGCAGTTGATCTGGAAATGGGGAGACAACCACTACCACCTTCTGAACAGGTACGGCAGTGTTCAGGTAACTGCTGCTCTAGGTACCAGGGAGCATTTTTTGTCTTTTGAGTTTGAAGTCCTAGGTTTTTTTTTTACTCAGAACAGGGTATTGAGAATCACAGAACGGTTTGGATTGGAAAGGACCTTAAGATCATCCAGTTCCAACCCCCCTGCCATGGGCAGGGGCACCTTCACCTTAGACCATGTCACCCAAGGCTATGTCCAGCCTGGCCTTGAACACTGACAGGGAGGGGTATTTACCACTTCTTTGGGCAACCTGTGCCAGTGCCTCAGAACCCTCACAGGGGAAAACTTTTTCCTTATATCTAACCTGAACTTCCCCTGTTTCAGTTTAAACCCACCACCCCTTGTCCTATTGCTACAGTCCCTGATGAAGAGGCCCTCTCCAGCATCCAAAGATTAAGAATGTAAGCAGGAGAACCTAACTCATTAGTATTAATGCACCTCGTGCTTTCCAAACAATGATAAATGCTAGATTTCTGTGAGTTTAAACAGATTTCTATCAACCAAAGGTCATGGCAGTGCCTTCTCTTAGAGGAACTTAAGCCTACCTTAAAATGTTTTGTAAGGAGTCTGCTGCTGAACATTGGCTAGTCAGGCAGATAATTACTGCATCTTTAGGGTAATGCCATTGCGGAAAGTAGTTACCAGTCTGGTTGTGATAAGGCTCATGATTATGTTTGGTTTTTTAAGCATGCATCCTTTTCTGGGGTGCTGCACTTACTGTAGTAAGATGAAGGAAGATGTAAGTGGTTATGACAGAAGCATGGAAGTCTGCTGTACAATGATTGTGGTAGAAACTTATTTTGTGGGGTGCAATGCACAGCAATTTGTGTTGTGGGATTTAGGGGTTTGTTACTCTCAGTAGCACTGTTTTATGCTTTGGGAAGTAAAAGAAATGATCTTTCATAGGAACCCAGGTGGTTCTTTCTGGACCAGTGGAATGCTCGGTGTGAAGAGGCTTTGTCTGAGTTGTGGAGGTCTTTGAAAAAAAGAAAAGTAACTAATGTAGATGATGTTCTAATTAGGGTGGTTCTTAATTTATTTCATAGCTGGGTATAAAGATCCTTCCTGCTGTGACATGTACATTCCTTTCTCTTTTTAAACTATGACAAAAATAACTTCTTCCAATTTTGTGAAACAGGTGGAGCTTTTGAGTCAGGCTCTTCAGCACCTCCAGGCATGCAAGGAGATCTGGAAAATTCTGAAGCTCACAGGTAAGCGACAGCGTGTCTGTTCAGCACATGCAGCTCTTCAACTTAGTCACTGTATCAGTGAAAAGTACAGGACATACGGAATTGCTGTCTCAGCTGAAGGGTGTTGAAGCAGGTGATAAAAGGGTTTCCTGCTGGCTGTTACCTTGCCTGGGGTGGTTGCATGAATTTAGCTACTTATGGACAAACCAGATGTTTTTACTGAGGGGGAGGCATAGTGGTGGGGTTTTGCTTTGGACGCCTGAGGCTTCCATCTAAGCCTGCTTCAGAGTTCCACTTGCTCTGCTGGGAAATCTGAGTACCTTAATGGTTTTCCTGCCTGTTGGAAGCAAAATTTATACCTTGTTGGTACACCAGGTGCCTTTAAGAAAATGAATCACTACATTCAGGTAATTCTGTCTCTTCTGTAGGAGATTTTGCTAAAGACCCAACAGACACATTGCTGCTGCTTTATGAATTTGAAGCAAGATCCAAACTGAATGATCCAGGACTCCACAACCTTATGGAGTCAGTTTGGGAGCAACCACAAATAGAGGTCAAGACACTAGAAATTATTGCATGTAAGGGCCGCATTTGTGCTTTCATAGTTCTCTAAGTAATGAATCAACTTTTGTTGCTCTTTCCTGTTCACCTGGGGCGGCCAGGGTTATCAGGTATTGTGCAGCATCCAGAAAATGAGTCTAGCTGTATGTATGTTGTCCTGAAGCAAAGCTGCTTTAGGATCTCAGCAAGATCAGGAGATCTGCATTTTGGAAGACTGTATTACATGGATGATGAACCAGAAATTTCTGACATCCTTATGTTTCTGGACCCTGAGACATCTGAGTGGAAAAGATTATTCAGATAAACTTTTACAAGCTTCAAACTGGCAGAGGCCAGACAATGACGCTAGCTGTTAGATGGCTTAAGTTGGTTTAAGATGTGGACTTTGGATAGATACACAGTTTCAGCTTACTGTTGTCAATATGTAAATAGCACTTTTCTATACTGCACCATGCTTTCATCACAAAGTCCTAGTCATGCCTCCTTGACAATCTAGAGTAGGATCAAATGAAGATGAGTAAAATTTAGAAGTACTATGGCAAATCTTTGGAGGTGATTCTGTAGGACTGCATGAACACCTACTTCTCTCTCTTGTCTTGAGAGAGTACACACCTGGGCTTGAAAACACTATACTGGCATCATCCCATATTCTTGGGTGATACGGTTTAGTGTGAGGTGTCCCTGCCCATGGCAGGGGGGTTGGAACTTGATGATCTTAAGGTCCTTTCCAACCCTAACTATTCTATGATTCTATCTCACCCCTGCCTATTTTTTCGAATCAGGTCTTTATATTCAAGGACACAAAGAAACCTCTTTACATCAGACACCCTCCCCCAGCAATATTTCTGGGTTTCTGCACCAGAAGTCAACAGTAGTGGGAGTACTTATGAAATGCACTGTGCTTCTGCCTTACAGTCCTCACTGACGATCTGCACAGTAAAAAAGTAGTAGACTGGTCACTAGCTTGTGACCAGCCCAGGTATTCAACACGTCTCTTTGCAGCTGTTTATCACAAGCAGGCATCATGCTGTGCTTTAGTGACCAATGAGATGGAAGTCTGGCTCCAGTAATTTTCTTCTGAATTTCCTTTTGGTTTTAAGCATTAGCAATGGAATCTCCAGCTCGATATCCTGAACTGTGCAAGAAAGCTCTCAAGAGTGCATTAAACCTTCACAGAAAGCAGACTGTCATTGATGTTGAGAAATTCAGGTGAGTGTTACCGTGCAGCTTTGCCATGAGCCCATGACTGGAGATGCTGACAGGGAATAAGGGCTGCCATTTGGAAAAAGTGGGTTTTAGGTTATGTGCAAGGTTCCACTTCTTGCTGGCCAACCAATATACCTCTCAGTCATGACTGTCTAACAGATGTGTAAACTGGGAGGTGCTTCCCGGGCATATTTTTTGAGAGCGTTTTATTTCCCATAAATGAATCTATTGAGGAAGGAAAATGAAAATTGTATCCAGAGGAGGTCTCTGGCTGTTTCTTGTGAGGAAGGTGTTAATTTCAAATGGTACCCTGGTAGTAGTGAACTAGGTATTGCAAAGACAATGAAGAGATGATTAACAAAAGAAATTAAGTGCTGAGAAGAAGGCCAAGAGTTGTAAGTTAGTGATAAGATGCCACAGTCCATTAGTTTGCTGGGTAACTGGCTCTCTAACAGCTGTACCTTATGGAATCTGAAAACCAACCTGGCACAGGGCCTTCTCTCTTATTTATACCCCAGAAAGGACCTTTTTCTCCTTTCCAAGTTCCTTGCAGTAACCCCTGGGCAAAGGCAACTGTTAATACTGCTCTTCTCCCTTCATGTTGAGAAGGAAAAACCCCATTTCTGAAGCCATGTGTTTATTACTGATTTCCTGAGGCTGCCGAGGCCTTACTTCTTGTTGGGGAAGTTAGAAAGCTTTTTCCTTGCTGTTACATGTAGCACTCTAGAAAATGTTATCTCTTTCCTTTTGTGTTACTTTATAGCCTAGCAGTGAAACTCATGAAGTGCTTGCTTCTCTTGGCTCTCTTTTGGCATAGTGTGTATGAATGAGATCTGATGCTAGGAAAATGTGTGTTTCTGCTTGAATAATGGGAACGTAGTAAGCACCAGGGTGGACCTGTCTGTGTAACAATCACAGAGACATAAGTCACTGTGCTGCTGATACTAAAAACCATGTTGGTGCACATGGTATTTAATCTTTCCTCTTCTGCTCTGTTTCAATTCTCAGCAAATGCTTACATAGTTTGATAAATCTCTCTTTACCAACTGGATTAACAGACCTGGATGCCTGTGTACTGCAGGAGGTGTGGGACTACTTTGAAGATGGTCTGAGCATAATCAGCAGCACAGTGAGTTGAACAGGAGAAAAGAGGCTGGGGGATGATCCTTGAGCACATGAAAAATAACAAATCTCATCAGGCTGAGAATGATGAGGAGAGTGAGCAGTGCATGGTGTGATGTCTTGAGCAGCCAAGATTTCTTCAGCAGAAGATACACTGACATTACCTCAAAAGAAATGCCTCTTGGATATTTATGACTAAATTATGAAGTTCCCTGGATTTTGTAAGGGCTTTTTTAGAGACATTCAAGGCCAAATTTTCAGTGCCTATTTTAGAAACATCTGCAGCTGAGACATCCCATCATTCCTCCTCTTGTTTCTGCATTCTCACGCTGAATATGTTGGTTGGTTTTTTTAAATGCAGATTACTTTTCCAGCTCAGTTTAAAGCCAGCTAAAATCTGGGTTCCAGACTTGCATTTGTTCTCAGCTCTGTCTTGTTAAATGTATTTGGGAACTTACTACATTATTGTTTTATCCAAGTGACCTAGAACTGGATTCCTAGACCTGAGCTGTTGGTTCCTGTGGTACCATGTGCTTTGTTTCTGTGAGGACAGGTTTATGGAGAGCAAAATCATTCTTTCTTTAAGCATTTCTGCTGCTTCTTTCAAGCCTGAAGCAAAATGCTGTAAGTGAAGCCAGTTGTACTGAGGAAGTTAGGCATTTCTACTTAAAACTTGATAGGTAAAAGTCAGTTAAGGAGTAATCCTGTTCAGGACTTGCAAACCAATACCATGTTTCATAGCTTCATTCCATTGCATGGCTGGTTCTTTGGTTAAGGTTTGAGCGTCTCTTCTTTACGAAAGTGGCATCAAGATATGTTGTTCCTGACTTGCCAGAAAACCAGTGTCCCCACATCCGTGCCTGCCTCCCACTGAAGTCCTCACCTCTAATTTTGGTAATGTTTTTGTTGAGGGCTACGAATGAAATGTTAACGTGGACTGATACAACAGCAAAACTTTACAGCACTGGGTGGCCTTTTGCAGTCATGCTCATGGCAACAGGGACTAATTGGTACTGTGATAAGAGGAGGACACTGGGGCATCACATTAGTCTGTTATCTGTTAGAAAGCTGGTGCACCACTCATGATTTACAACTCCTCGTCAGAAATGAATGCTCTAGTTCAGAAATTCATTCTGGGTCCTCTTACTTAGGATGAGAAGTGTCTATCAAAGGGGAAAGAAGTCCTTCCAGCCTCCCCTTAAGGATTTGCATGACAAATCAGTAATTTCTTGTTCTTCCCTTCTCCAGCTGAATCAGTTTCCCACCATGTTCAAGTATTGTAGGGTATTGCTACTCTTCTGCAGTTACAAAGGCAGCTTTCATTCCAGTCCCACAGAACTATATTTTCTGATGTACCAATAGGTAATTGCAACATGACTTACCTATGTTGGAAGCAAGGTGTTTGGCAGTAGTGCAGATGAACTGTGAAGTACAGGATGACTCTGAAGGAACTGCCCTTTGTTTAGGAGAAAAAAACCCAAGTAACTGTTTTCCCACTAAAACCAAACTCTAATGCACTCTTGACTTGTCAGGGTTGAAGTGAAAAGTCCATTTTCTGATGAGCTATTGCTTCTTCTTTATTACCCCAGGATGCTTACCCAGAGATGGAGATCCTTTGGTTGATGACAAGAGCATGGAATACAGGAATATTTCAGTATACTGTTGGGAAATGTGGGGAAGCTGAGCAGTGGTGTGGATTAGGAATGCGCTTCCTCAATCACTTAGGATCTCTGAAGAAAACCTATGAAGGCCATGTAAGTAAGCGTAAGCAGATGGATTTGAGGATGTGGGATTTAAGGTCTGGCCTGAATTTTAGATATGGATCTGTCTGAAGAAACCACTGCAGAATTTCATGGTACCTAAATATTCTGGGAGAGCTTAATGCTAAAAGGCTTTTTCAAAGCAAGGCCAGGAAAGTTTTGATAGACAATAGAAAGGTTAATGAAGTTTCCTTTACTGCAAGGGTCATGTGAATGCCTGTCTGGAAATCAACTTCTGTCTGTTTGTGGCCATAGGAGAACCCTTGTACATTGCTTGCTTTCACTAACATCAAGGTGCTGTACCACTTTACTTAGATCAGCTGTATGAACACATTCAGACCTGGTTTCTAGTATAATCTAAGGTCTTATAAATAGGGTTTAAGCTGATGTGAATATAATCATTAAAGCTCATCTTTTCAGGTGTAGCTTAGCCACTTCTACAGGTGGTAAAGTTTCAGGGCTACTGGCTCTGTAGAAAGCAATGACACAGTTACTCTGTCACAAGTAAGCTTCTCTATGGTTTTTGGTTAGTGCCCTACCCAGACTGCAGCACAGCTCAGCCTAGCTGGTGTGTGCAGACATCATTCAGTCTTATGCATGAGCTGGGCAGTCAAGAGCTGGTCACAGTTTTTATACCATGTTAAGTACACCTGTTAAGACAGTAAGAATTGAGATCACTTCTTTCCAACCTCAGCCATTCTGTGGTTCTGAGTGGGTTTATTCCCTGACATAAGACTCAGCTATAAACTATGCTTTATGGCAGTATAAATAAACCTGCCTTTGTCAGATTGCACTGATTTAACTGGTTTTTTTTCTTACATCACTGTATTTAAACCTGTGCCAAAATCTTCACATTAGTCTTAGGTTTAGAACCTGGTGGTAATCTCCCACTTATGCCCTTGCTTCTGTTCCCTGTTGCTTTCTTGTATTATATAGTTAAATGATAGAACTTTATCCGTCCGTATTGACAACCGTGGTGCTTATGTTCTCCAGATGATTGGCCTTTATAGTGAGGTTCTGGACAAACTGGACAGAGCAAAAGGGTTTCTTTCAAATAAGCAAGAATAATGAGAGTCACAACTGCAAAATGGAGGACAGGAGTGTCCCTTGGAAACGTTCTGCTGGATGGAAGAGGCCATCAGCTCTGTGGAGGCGGCGTATCAGGGGAGCAGTGCAAGAGAAGCCAGGATCTCCTTGTTAGTGATTAAGCTATGTACTTTAAAGGAAGTCTTTGTTGAGTGAATGGAATTGTTTTCCTCTAGGCAATAGTTTTCATTCTGTGCAGGTATTTAACAGAAATAAATGTTTAACTGTTTTTCATGAGATGAGTCTGCTCCTGTGTAACACGGTGAGTTCGATACCTGGCTGTAGTAGTACGTGGCAATGAGAACATTAAAAGTATTCCAAGACCAGGCATCTCCTCTGGATGGCATAGCTACATAAATCAGGGATCTCCCGGTGAGCAGGGCCACCTCTCATGGTTACCCTCCTGAGGCTGAGAGATCCCTTACCTGACACCAGGCATCCATGGCTTGGTGAGTGGCATTTTTTGCACGCAGAGCACATTTAAGATACATTTTGTAAGCTAAACTGATAAATAGTAAACAGTATTGACCACCAGTTAATCTGTACTTATTAAATATTTTACATTCCCAGATTTACTGATGAGAACTCAATGAACTAACTACTAGCAGTCACAGTTAGGATTTTCCATAGCTTTTAAGTAGGACAAGAATTCTCTTAGTTGGATCCCTAGCTGGATTTCCAGTGACCATTCCCAACAGGCACCTTGCCTGCAATCGCTCTGCTTTGCAGCTGCCTGTGCACTGCTTTTGCCAGAGTCAGGGCAGGCTAGTCCAGGGCTTATTTCATTTCACTAGGGTGAACGTTGCCTACCTCAGATGCCTGGGATATAAATCGGTTGCTGGCTTAAAAAGGCTGCGACTGGGTGCTCCTCCCGTGGTGCTCACGGGGTGCTCCAGAGGGTGGCATCGCAGCAGCAGTTTCTGATGGACACATCGGTGTGGAAGGAAGCTGCGGCTGTGCTGCCACTTGCTCTGCAGCTGTAGAATTCCTCATTGCTTGGGACACCACAGCTGGACCCTCGGGGGCAGGAGCTCACACACATCCTCCCTTTCCCTGGCTCTATTTTATGTCCCATCTTTTTTCCGTCATCTGATGATTTCTGAACTGTTGGGGGAGCAGCAGCAGCCTTAGCGGAGGCACAAAGGAAATGCAAAGTGACCTGGGGAATGGGACCAAGGAGAGGGTATTCTTACCACGGAGCCACAAGGAATGTGGCTGCACTGAGCATTCTGGAGGGGCAGGAAGAGGGGCTGGTCTGGCCACTAGTTCTCAGTTGCGCAAGCACATTCACAGGTGAAGGTGTCACAGTGTACCAGAGGAGAAAGTCATGCTTGCCCAGTGAGTGCAGCAGTAATGACGCAGTCATCAAAGGCAGCCAGCACTGAGCGTGGCTGTTTGAAGTGAAATGAGGGTAATTAGAAAAGGGCTGAAGCTTTTTCAGGTTGTGCACTGGAACTGAGGTGGCTCTCGGGTTAATGAGCTTCATAAACTGGGACCTGGCTGCAGTCACCGTGCCCATGCTTGGTACAATACCACTGCTCCCCTAAAACCTCCCTCCTCCTCTGTGCAATGTGAAAGGAAACCATAACATCCAATTCAAGAGTTAAACCCCAAACTCCTCTGCCTTCGAAGCAGCTCAGTGATAAAGCACCATATGAACCGCAGTCTTCTTCCAGTGAACACTCAGTCTGCATTCAGAGGTATGAGGAAAAGGTACTTGTCATTGCAACTTTCCTTCTGCTCCCTGTGTCTAACCACCATGTTAAACCCTACAAAGCTGCTCTGTCTGAGCTAGAATACAGAGAACAGAACCCCAGCCTGGTTTGTGTTGGAAGGGACCTTAAAGCTCCTCCAGCTCCAACCCCTGCCACGGGCAGGGACCCCTTCCACTGGAGCAGCTTGCTCCAAGCCCCTGTGTCCAACCTGGCCTTAAGCACTGCCAGGGATGGGGCAGCCACAGCTTCTCTGGGCACCCTGTGCCAGCGCCTCAGCACCCTCACAGGGAAGAGCTTCTGCCTAAGAGCTCAGCTCAGCCTCCCCTGTCTCATTTTGTACCCATCACCTCTTGTCCTATTGCTACAGTACCTGATGAAGAGTCCCCTTGTAAAGACAAACCTTGGCCCAAAATACAACTATGGTCTGAGATCAGAGCCAGTGTGTGTTACAAGCACTCACCCAGAAGAGCTTTTCAGTGGCCTGGTTATGGCTGTAAATAAGCAGACAAGCCCACTCCTTCCTTTGTGGTTTTCCCATCTCATCTCCTTTCAGACAGGTTCTCAGGGACCACCTTACACTACAAAAGAAAGCATTTTATTATTGTTTTAAGCCACTGTTACCGCTTTGCATGGACAGAGCGGCTTGGAGAGTCGCCAGGACCAGCACCAGAGACCAGCTCCAGCACCCAGTGAAGGACTCAACGAGGTCTCAGAGTTCTTTGTAACTCTCTGTTTATTAAAAATATACGTCTCCTTGGAAGAAGCCCTGGTAACCAAGCAGCGTTGTCCTGATCGGCTCGAACCCCTCAGCAGTGCCATGGAGCACATCCTCTCCTCCTTGTGACTTCATGGGAGGGAGACAGGAAGAACAAGAAAAGGAAAACGAAGGCAGGAGCAGTGTCCCTGGCAGTTCAAGGGCTCCTGCTTCCCCCTCTCCGCTTCTCCAGGGGCTGACACCGGAAGCTGAGGCAGGACCAGTGGGGCAGGAATCTGTTGCCAAGTTTCCTCATGTAGGGTCAGTCCCACAGCAGCAGCATCCTCCTAGCCTGCGGCATCACTTTCTGTCCCGGGAAGCAGCTCGGTCCCCATATGGCTCCATGTGGTACAGGAGGAGTAACAACAGCTTCTCCCGGAGCTGTACAGAGTCCTACAGCAGCTCCTGTGGCCTGTGCATGCCTGCACTGACTGACACCCTGATAACCACCACCACCAGGCACAGGGACCAGCACTCCTCATTTATCCCTGTAAAACAGGGGAGGGAGAATGGACCAAGACTTACCTGCTTTGCTCACAGGGTGACCTCTTCTGTTCTGGTGCTTGGCACTGTGACTAAGAACCAGCATTCACCGGTCCTCTGGAGGTGGGAGCTCTTCTCCCTGTGCTACGAGTACCCACCAACACTGCTCTTCTTCCAAGGCTGCGCAGCTTCCCCCAGGGCTCTTCCCATGATGTGGAAGCCGCTGTCCTCAGAGCCAGACACTCCTCAGCTCAGGGCCAGCAACGTCACCTCCCTTGGAAACCCCCACGTGCAGCAGTGGGTGCAGCTCTGCAGCCCCTGCCCTCCCGGGCACCCGGCTTGGTCTCCTAAGGGGACCCTGAGAGGGGGAGCAGACCCAGTGGCAGGAGGAGGATTTATGCACAGGCGGCAGAGGCAGAGCCCCAGCTCTGGAAGCAGCCGGAGCCATCCCTGCTGGGTGGGAAGGACGGACCTTCCCCTGGGAGGGCTGCAGAGCTGGGACTGTGGCACAGAGCAGGGAAGCAGCTCTTCAGTGCTGTTCCTGAAGTGGGAAGTGCGAGTGTCCATCCAAGGCACAGCTGCGGCTCTTCCTGCCCGTGGCTGATGCAGAGGGAATGCCAGCACACTGCCCCCAGCTGGAAGGGGTCACCTCACCTGCACCCACAGGCACAGGGCCAGCCCAGCATCCTGCGTTTCCCACAGCCAGTACATTTGTTCCACGTGGCCAGTACAGTAATTCCTAACTAACCACTGTCGCTCTGGATTCTATTTACAAGAGAGCCAGTTTAAAAAAGTAAGTTAAAAAAATTGATTTTATACCCATTCAGTTCATGATTAACAAGAAAAAATGAAATAGTGGGAAAAAAAACCCAAAAAAAACCAAAAAGCAGCCAACACAGCAACACAACATGGTTTTGGTTTAAAATCAGCTTAAAAAAATAGAACCAAAAGGAAACCTCTCATGCAAACACGTACGTGGTGTGGAAAACAATGTGCAATTTAATATGTAGCATCATCCATTCCCTTGCTGGGGCCGGCTCCAGAGCAGCTGCTCCTCGTGCTGCTGCTCTGCATCCCCGGCCCCGTGAGATGAGGGCGAGGGATGGACCCGGACCCGGACCTGGACCTGGACCCGGACCCAGACTCAGCCCTGGGCCCGGAGCCGCCCCCGAGGCGCCCGGGACTGGCTGAGCTCCTCCTGCCCACGGGGACTCCCCTTGCCCAGGGCTGGGGCACAGGAGCCAAGAGCTCCTTGCGACAACGCGGTGCCTTTCACGAGAGGTCCCTCCGGTTTCCCAGTCCACGTCCATATATATATATAATATATATATAATATCTCTCTCTATATTATATATAAATTACATATACAGATAAATAAAATGCCTTCTGCTGCCTTTCTGTCGCACTGTTCAGAGCTGCCCGACAGTCACGCTTGGGAAAATGCCCCTGGGGCTCTGATACTAGCTCATGTGCTCAGAGTCCATCGCTTCACTTGTTCCTTACGTTCCTTACGTTAGTCCTCAGCCACCTCCTCCCATGTCGATTCTTGAATTAATAATAATAATAATAATAATAATAATAATAGTAATAAAAAACGACCTTGAATGGGTTCTCATCTGTCTCTAATGGAGCAGTGGGAAGGTCCATGCAGGAACAGCGGGAACAGTCACGTGAGGAATGAGATGAGTTCATCCCAACAAAAGAAACAGGACTAGAAAACTCAATTTTGCGACGATCTAAAAAAGGGGCAGGAATAGTTTTCATATCCCCCCCTCGGGGCAGAGGGCTCGGGTGAGGTGGGACTGAAGAGATCTTCTGCTCGCAGGGAAGCAGGAGGGGAACATCTTCAGAGTTTCTCTGGGGACGGGACCCAGATGTAGTGCCCGGATTGGTCCTCAATGATCTGTTTGATTTTGCTGTAGATCTCTTCCAGAGAGTCTCCTTGTACAATGGCTGGAGAGGAGAACAAGCAAGATCTTGAGCATCTGGCAGCGCCTTCCCCACCACCAGCCAAAGGAAGGGCTCCTGCAGGGGGTACCCGGTGAGCCCCGCACTGAAGGGGCCGGTGCTGGCGTGGCCAGCGAGTGAATGAAGAGCCTGCCCCAGAGGAGCCGCTGCCGGGGTTAACCCAGCATGTCCAAGGGGATTAGCGAGAGCTGATCCCGCTGCAGAGCGCTCCCGGGACGGGCTCTCCACAGCGGGCACTTAATCAGCTTGGCAAAGGGTGCCCGGGCACCCCAGGCCGCGGCTGCGCCGCTGCAGGGACCAGAGCCCTCGCTTGGATTAGCCCCAAACGGGGCTGTTCATCCCCTGCAGCCCCTGCTGAGGGCTCCTCCTGTTTGCTGCTGCTTCTGCAGCCAGGTAGGAATTGCAGTGCTCTCTGGCTGGAAAGGGCAGTGTGCGGCTGGGAACTGCACAAAGACCAGCAGCAGCCCTGCTGCTTAGTACGGGCTCAGTACAGAGCACTGCACTGTGCTGCCTACAAGGGAGGAGGATGCACATAGAATCAGAGAATGGTTTGGGTAGGAGGGGACCAGAGCTCCCCTGGGCACCCTGTGCCAGAGCCTCACCACCCTCACAGGGAAGAACTTCTGCCTTTCATCTAACTTAAATCTCCCGTTTCAGTTTGAACCCATCACCGCTTGTCCTGTCCTTTCCAAACCAAACCAGCTGAGATCCTATGGAACAGTTCCTGCGCTGGGGGAAAGGTGACAGAGCAGTGTCTGCCTCTCTCCCTGCCCTGTTCACATCTAATCATGCTGCAGACGTTAGTTTCTTAATGCCCAGGGATGTCTGTGCCATGAGCCACTCGCCTCTGCAGGCACAAAGTGCCAGGCAGCCCCTCTGCTTCAGCAGCCAGCTGAACGGGCTCTGCTCCTGGGAGAGGCTCTGCAGTCACTCGGGGCAGTCTCCACCACGGACACTTTTCTCTTCTGAAAACACCTTTCCCCTTGCAGGGAGCTGTTTCCTGCAGCCCTCGGCCTGTGCTGCGCTCCCCTGCCTGGGGAGGGGGCTTGGGGATGCTGTTAGAGCTGGCACTAAGCGCTCACCAGCTCTGCCTGCCCTGTCCCCTCCTCCAGAGCTGGTTCAACCCCTGTCCCTGCCCCTGGCACTGCCCTCGGCACAGCCCTCCTGGCAAAGCGCCCTTTCTGTGCTGCTTCGCTGACCCTGTGGCTGGGACAGTGCGGGAGGGAGGCCACAGCAGCTGGACCACGAGGTCGATCGGCAGGAGCCGGCTCAGCACTCACCTGTGAAGTACTCGCCGAACTCCTGCTCCAGCTTCATGGCTTTGTCGAAGACCTTGTTGGCCTGTTCATACGTCTGCCTCCGGTTCATCTCCCTGCCGCATGCGAGACACCAGCTCAGCTCTCCCCAGCGGGGAACAGCCACAAACCCACCCCCGAGCTGGGCGCCTGGGGAGGCCCGGACACCAGGAGCTGCGCAGGACCCAGTGCCCCAGGCAGGACCCGGTGCCCCCGGGCAGGACCCGGCGCCCCCGGGCAGGACCCTTCCCCGCACGCCCGTTGCTGCCCTGGCTCCCACCTGCCCTGCTCATCACCACCCTCCCTTCCAGCACAGCACAGGAGTGGACTCAAACCCAGTCTCCTCTGATCCCACAGCACATCTCTAGCTACTGAGCCTGCCCCCAGAGAACACTCCTCTCCCGGCTGCACGCAGGTGACACCGGGCACATTTGGGAACATCTTTAGATTTCCCATGGGTAGTACTCTCTGGGACAAATGAAGCGCTTTAAGCCAGAGCAATTCCTGGAGCCTGGGTGCACCGTGGCATTAGATGGGGAGGGACAGCACAGAGACAGCAGTGGCCCAGCTCCCCTTAGCAAGGGACGAGTTCAGCACCAGCAGCAACTTCTGCTGCTTTCTCAAGAGCAGAGGCAGCAGCAATGCCAAGCCCTGATGCTCCAGAGCTGCTCACCCTGGAGAAGCACAGAACAGAAGCAGAGAACATGGCACTACTTACATGAGAGCTTCGATGGATTTTGGTTTGATGAAAATGGCAATGGGATAAAGTTGTGCTTGTTGCAACCTCTTGATAGCATTGCCAGACACATCCAGGATGCAGTGCTTCCCCTGGAAAGGAGACAGTCGGGATCAGTTTCTCACACAGTCGACTCAGTGCACAGAGCACCTTGCTCCGATGTGCTTACAGAAGAGAGGACCAGAGAGGAAACACCAGCCCTGAGACACGAGCCAGCTCCCGGCGGCCTTAGGTTCTGCTCACTTAGGGGAGAGAACTGCCAGGCACATCTGGGTTTGGACCGGACACTCACCCGCTCCGCCACTGCCCGCACTGACTGGATGCTGGTCCCGTAGAGGTTGTCGTTGAACTGCCCAGCCTCTATGAACTTGTTGTCCTGGATGTCCTTCTCCATCTGCTCCCGGGACACGACGAAGTGGTAATCCTGCCCGTCCACCTCGTTGTCACGCCGGGGCCTGGTGGTGTCTGCAGGAGGGCACCAGGGGTGAGCCTGAGCGATGCGTGCCCCGTGCTCCCGGCCCCCCCCCACCCCGGCTCCCCTCCTGCGGCGCGGGCACGGGCACAGGCACGGGCACGGGCAGGGACTTACGGGGCACGCAGGAGCCAAACTTGTGTGGGAATTCAGAGATGAGGTCGTCGTTGACCCGGTCCTTGGTGGGACCCAGGATGATCACCGGCCTCGCGTAGTGAACTGCCAACAGAGCCACAGCCTGAGCCGCGCCGTCACCACCAGCACCCCCCGCCCCTCCAACCCCAGCCACCCGTGGGGCCCTGGGGAAGGCGCGGGGTCCCCAGGACATGGACCAGCAAAGCTGCTCCGGGCAGGAGCCACACAACTGGGTGAGGGTGCCATGGAGCTGGGGAGCAACGGGAGCCCAAGGCTCTGGTTCAGCTTCTGGCAAGGAGAGGCCACTGAGGCTGGGACCATTGAGCCTGCAGGGATGGGGAATGGAGCAGTGACAATTGCTGGGAGCTCTGGGTGGGGGAGCTGCTCTGCAGCAGGGACCTGGCCCGAGGCAGGACAGGATAACCCTGTCCTCAGCTGGGGACTAAAGCCCGGCTCAGGTCCAGCTCTGGATCCCTCCCTTGGTGCCGGGGGCAGCTCACAAGCACTGCCTGCTGCTGACAAAGTGAAAGCCCCATGGGGCGGTGCCGTGCCCGGCCCCTGCTGCACCACCACAACAGAACCTCCCCGGCGTGGGGCTGCTGTGGCGGGGCCGGAGGAGGTGGCACTGGAGGCCTGTGCTGGAGCAGGCACACGCAGCTCAGCGCTGGGACTCACTTTCTTGCCGCGTCACCGGCTCGTACGACAGGATGGTGTCCTCTTGTCCTTCTGCAAGAGAGCCGGGGACAGGCAGGTGAGCACTGCCCAGCCCCACTGCCCCCACCCCACCGCTGCTGCAGGCTCAGGGCCCATTGGGATGCTCCATCTGCCCTGGTGGATGAGCTGAGGGTACGCAGAGGAGCTGCCAGGGACAGGGCGAGCATTCCCTGCAGCTGGACCCCCATGCTCTTGTGCAGGCTTAGATGCTACATGACCTGTGCTCCAGACCCGACCTCTGGCCATTGCTTCCCCCAGCAGGCACCATGGGGACCACCATGGATGGGAACCTACCCCTGAGTCTTGGAGCAGAGACCTGAAGCCAGGAGAGCAACGGGCAAGATCCCTCCTGCCCCAAGCCCCTGCTCCTCCTGGCTGCAGCATCTGGGTGTCACCAGCAGGAAGGACCAGCTCTGGGCAGAACCACCACCAGGACAGGACATGATGGAAGTGCCGACACACCACACACACACACACACACACATGCACGGGGCCAGGAGAGCAGTGGGATGCACTTACTGGAGCTGCTCTCGCTGTCACTGGTGTTGGACGTCACACCCTCTGCAAAGAACCAGAGACACCCCTTCAGGAGGGGCCCAGGCAGCAGGACCCGGCTGTCACCCAGCACACTGACCCCAAACACCCACCCCAGCACCCGCATGGGCATGGGCAGCATCTCCCACCCTGTGCTAGGAAACCAGGGATGTGCCAGGGGACAGTCGGCTGCTCCAGGGTGCCGGGAGAGGGCAACCTGGCACATGTGGGCAGCACATCCTGGTGCTGGGCTTCCCAGGCCGAGGGAGGGGAAGGCGCAGGGAGGTGCTGCAGGGGGAGCGGTTGCAGCATGCACACGGGAAGAGGGAAGGCACAGCTCCATGCCAGCACAGAGGTGGGGAAGAGGGAGCCTGTCCCTGGGGCTGGGACTCACAAAGACAGGACAGTGACAAGAGGGGACAGCCTGGGGCTTTGCTTGCTCAGGCTGATCCAGTGCTGCAACTGCCCCACAGGCCTGCTGGCCACTGCCTGCCCTGGACCCGCAGCCAGCCAGGAGGGCCAAGGGGCTCCTGCCAACACCGTTCTGCAGCCCTGGGTACGAGGTGCCCCAGGGGATGGCAGCAGCACTTCCAAACACCATCACCCCCCTGCTCGGAGCGCGCCTGTCGTGGTCACAGCCACCTCCCACCCACACTGGCAGCGGCTCCCCGGCTCCGAGCGCTACAACCAGCAGCCAGCCCAGCCAGGAGCAGAGGAGGATGAGGAGCAGCGCAGCCCTCGCTGGGCACACTCAGGGCACAGCAGCATCCCAAGCAAATGGCCCCGTCCCTTCCCCCGTGCAGCAGCGGCTCCTCCAGCCCCGCAGCATCCCGGGGCAGCGCAGTGCCCAGGCACCACCAGGCATGCCAGCGACGGAGAGCGATGCGCATCCAAATTCCACTTACTCAGGTTCTTTGCTCCATAATAATCGTCACTTAACCCAGGGAAGTCCTGATTTCACAGACAGCGAGAAAGGGGAGAGGGGGAAGAGAAGAGAAGAGAGTGCAGGAGAGGGGAGTCAGAGGGACAGGGGAGACAGAGCCAGACCAGCATTAGTGACAGGAGTGCAGAACGGCCCAGAGCTGCAACTGCAAGTGAGGTTAAGTGTAGTCAGAGCTGACACCATCAGCCTGCTGCCAACGTCTCGCCTCGCACAGCCGGACCCCCCTCCCCACTGAGCCTACCCCTCTGCCAACGACCCCCAGAGGCCACCCTGGGTCTGGGGTGGGCAGAGGCCACGGCGGCACTGCTGGCACTGGGGAGCAGGACCAGCAGCGGGCGCAGTGGCTCTGTGCCCCCTGGCACAGCCTGCCCTGCAGTGCATGGCGGGGATCGGTGTGAGCCGGTGCTCCACGGGCTGTGGGACCATGGGACAAGGAGCCCCTGCTGCAAGCTGGGGTGGGCAGCGGCACAACACAAGGGGGGAGCTCACTGTGACATGGGCTGGCAAAGTGATGCCTGCCCCATCCCTGTGCCGTAAGTCACTGTCCTGCACTGGCTGAAAGCAGGGCCCCAGCGGCCCCCAGCTCCAGCACGGAGCTGGCTGGAGCCCAGGCACTACAAGATACCCAGACACAGAGACTTAACCTCTACCACAGGCCAGGAGCTCTTGCTGGCTCCTACGCTCACTGCAAGCCAGCGCCAGCCTGGCACAGGCAGCAGAGAGGATTGGGCAGCCCCTGGAGCAGCACAGCATCAACTTCCTGCTTCTGCATCACACCCAGAGAGGCACTGGTGTGCAGGGGATGTGCTCAGTGCCCGGCACGGGGCAGAGCCCGGCTCCTCTGCCCTGAGGAGCGAGGGGCACAGCTCTCCGGGTGCGTGCACAGGGAGCGGATGCAGTTTAGCACCAGGAAGGAGCAGGCGCTGGGTTGGGTGAGCAGCCCCAGTGCCTTCAGGCTGGGGGGAACCTGCCCTCACTGTGAGCCCTGGGGTGCTGCCAGGGGCTGCAGCCACCGGAGATGTGCCCCAGCTGCGGGGGGGCTCCGCTCCCCCGTGCCTGCGGGGTTCATCCGGAGGGAAGGGCTCTGGGAAGCGGTGCGGGGGCAGCCGGGACCCCTGCGGCTCCTGGGGCCTGGCAGGGGCAGGAGCAGCTCTGCAGGAGGCGGCGGCTGAGGACAGGAGAGGAGAGGAGAGCCCCTGGCGGGCAGAGGGGGGGAGCAGAGCCCGCAGCGGAGGGGAGGCGCAGCGGGGTCAGGCGGGGGTGAAGCTGGATGGAAGGATGAAGACACTGAACATGAGAGAGAGAGAGAGAGAGAGAGAGAGAGCGAGCGCCAGCCTGCAGCTGCAGCGTCCGTTCCAGCTCCGCTCCGTCCCTGCTGCGGGCGGCCAGGACCCCTGGCTAAGGACACCTCTCCCCCAGGCAGGGGACCTGAGGCTGCGGTGCCCTCTCTGGCCAGCTGCTACTTACGTTCCTGTCTGCTGCTCTCCTGGGCCAGGTTCTCTTTGCTCTTGTAAAATGGAAACTTTCGAGAGAGGCGGAAACTCTTTTTACGTTTCGTTTTGATCGACTGAAGAACATGGAGATGGAGGACAGAGAAAACAGCGGTGTTTAACATGGGGGAAATTAAAATGAGGAGACGATGAGGAGCTGGGTCAGGGCGGGCACCCCCAATGGAATAATGGAGATTACATGAAAACTGTAATGCAGGAAAATAATTAAGCATGGAGACAACATGTGGTAGGGATGGTGGGAAGCCGAGAGGCAATGAGCAGCGCTGCAGGGGTAGCCAGGCCGTTCTCCCTTCCTTGTCCACTCGGGAAGCGCTCTGTGTGAGGGTGAGGGCAGCTGCCTTCACCTGCATGAGCTGCCTGCAGCCAGCCCCTAGCCATGGGCCACAGGGGGACGGGCTCTGCTCCAGCACCACTCCAACAAGGGCTCCTTCCGCAGCGCTCACACACGTCCTGGGCTCCTCTGCTCGCCCCCTGCAGCCAGAGGGTTCATGACAAGCACACGCAGCTCTGGGGCAGGCTCAGTGCTGTCCTTTGGGATTGCTCCAGCTGCCCCACTGGGAGCTCCGGCTGCCCCCGCTACCCCCCAGCTCTGGGTGCCCCACTGAGCCCCCGCTTGGCACTTACCCTGTTAGACTCAATCATGCCAGTCCTGGCGTGGAACTTCACCGTTTTCAACCGCGCTCTCTCTTTCTTTTCCACCCTGATCAAAGTTAAAGGGCAAAAAGAGCTGCTAGTCCCATGTGGGCACCCTCTGTTGCCCACTTGGCTCCCCAGGGGGCTCTGTGCACCCTTGGGTGGTGGCCCTATTGGCAAAGGGCAGCTCCTACCCCGAGGGGGATGGATGTGGAGCTGCTCCCTGGAGTCTGGCCAAGACCAGTGCCTGTGGGAGCAGAAATGAGGACAAGCCAGGCTTCCTATGAGGGACTGGAGGGAGGCCAGAGGTGGGTCTGGCACTGCAGACCCGAAGGCAATGGCAGCCAGCTCCTCTGCTCCCTGTGACTTCCCATCCCATGGGACCTGGCTTGCAGAGCCAGGCAGGTTGTCAGAGGTCGCAAGGAGCAGCCTGAGTCTGTGACTTTGCCCTCACTTGGAGCCCCAGCCTGGCCAACACCGGCTCTCCATCCCCACAGGGACCACAGTGGGGGCTGAGCACTCCTCTCCTCCCCTGGCATCTCCCCCAGCTTTAGAGGACCCCTGCACATCCCAGCCCGCAGCCAGGGTGCCCTCAGGCTGCACAGCCACAGAGGGCTGGGAGCACAGCAAGAGCCCACCCTGAGCAGAGCCCCGAGGGCTGCAGGGCTGGGAGGCACCGGTGCGGCCGCTCCTGCTGACAGAACTCACCTCTTCTTGCTGGGGATGACCCCGATCTGCTCGCTCTCGCCGTGCGGAGTCACCAGCCTGGCCTGCCACCACTCGTCGTCGGAGGCGTTGATGACGTGCAGGATGTCCCCATAGGAGAAGCTGAGCCCCTGGCTGGGCAAGCAACTGTCCCGGGTCCGGTCATAGTCAAACAGGGCTCTGCAGAGGAGCACATCACAGAATCAGGGGAAGGTTTGTGTTGAAGGGACCTCAAAGCTCCTCCAGCTCCAACCCTGCCACGGGCAGGGACCCCTTCCACTGGAGCAGCTTGCTCCAAGCCCCTGTGTCCAACCTGGCCTTGAGCACTGCCAGGGATGGGGCAGCCACAGCTTCTCTGGGCACCCTGTGCCAGCGCCTCAGCACCCTCACAGGGAAGAGCTTCTGCCTAAGAGCTCAGCTCAGTCTCCCCTCGGGCAGGTTCAAGCCATTCCCCTTGCCCTGTCCCTACATCCCTTGTCCCAAGCCCCTCTCCAGGGATATGTCCAGAGATACCTTAGTGCAGAGCCCAGGAGCACAGCTGAGGGTACATACATACCTGCTTCCGCAATTGATCCTTTTCAGACTCCCAAGTACTTCCCCCAAGAACGGTTTATTTAGTTTAACATTATCTTCCATATTACCCCAACCAGCCCCAGAAAAGGTTCATTTCTGGTTTTTCACTCCAGGAGCACCAACAGCCTCCCTGCACAGGCTCCATCGCACGCCCCACGGCAGCTCACATGCACCAGCACAACCCAGGGGTTTCACATGCAGCTCATTCCACTAATGCCAGATCTCAGTGTCTGCCTTGCGATAGCAGCTTTGCAGCCAGGCAACCCAAGGGAACCATCACTCCAAGCACCACTGTGGGCAGCGCAACCCCTCTGCTTCCTTCGGGGACACCGGCCCCGCTTGCCTCCAGCCCAGCAGGAGCCCCGGCTCCACAGGCACTGGCTGCTGGCTGAAGGCTGGCACTAAGGAGCCTTGCTCAGCCAGAGGGATGCTCACTGCTGTGCTCACTGGATCCTGACGGGGCCTGAAAGCGCACGGTGCGAAGGGGAGGACGAGGGACCATGCGTCATATGCTGTGCTGTGGAGGGCCCTTCTTCAGGCCCAAGCCCTGTTCCACCGCTGGGCAATGGAACCTTTTAGGCCTCTAGGGACTGCTCAATGTTCAGTGCAGCCAGCCTTAAATGGGGAGGAGAAGAGGGGCTGCTCCTTGGCTTGAGGAAGGTTCTTTGGACAAGACCTGATGCAGCCCCATGTCCGCACACATGCAGCCACCAGCTCACTCCCTCTCTCCCAGCTCGCTCAGGGCTGGCGCAGCTCTCGCCCTCAGACCCTGGGTACCCAAGCGCCTGCAGGTAAGCAACCCTCACAGGCAGCTCCTGCCCGAAAGATAAGGCTGTGCATGGCCGGGAGGCCCCTGCGAGGCCAGAGCCAGGAAGCAAAGCAGGAGCCAAGGCCCCGGGAACTGGTCAGGCCGGTTCTGAGCCCGCTGGCTGCAGGGCGCCTGCCCACACCCTGGCCTGCAGAGCAGCGCTGGCCCCACAGCTCCAGCAGCCACCGGCATCCCAGGGCAGCACAGCAAGGCCTGCGCAGGGGTCATGCCCTGCAAGGCTGATGCACAAAGCATTCACTTCCCCAAGGCACGGTGCTCCTGGAGACGAGCCCCAGACCGTGTCAGCAGGAGGATGCGCTGTGGCTGGATGCTCCTTGCGGCACACAGGGTGCAAGGCAGCAGCACGGTTGCTCTGCTCGGCTCGCAGCACACACAAGCAGCCAGGAGAGCAGACGCTTTGGCTGGAGGGCAGCGGAGCAGCGCCAGGGACTCCCACAGCACCCTCCTGGTGCCCAGGCACAGTGCCCACCTCACCCCATCCCCACGCAGCACGGCCCCGGTGCCAGCAGCCTCTGCCCTGCTGCGGCACAGGCAGGCAGCACTGAACCTGCCTCATCCCTGCCCGTGCTGCACTGCTGCAGCTGCAGAGCACACCGCTAGCACCGGCACCTGCAGCCGGCTCCGGCAGCACCGGGGCGCCCAGCTCCGGCATGCAGGGTGCCACAGAGCGGCGTGGGGCTGACTCAAGCAGTTCTGTCCTGTAATTGGTGTCCTGGCCACAGCGCAGCAGCAGAGCTGGTTTCGGGTAAACTCTGCTCGAAACCACCCCGCCCAGCCCAGGCACTACGGGGAGCACCAGCACCCTGCAGGGTGCGCAGCCACAGAGACCAGAGCCATGCTGGGGTACAGCTCTGCCCTGGGCTCACCCCCTCAGCAAGGCACTGCCCAGCCTCTGTCTGAAGCCGTGCATGAGGGGACGCACTGCTGGGGAGGCCACCAAACCCACGTGGAGGGACGCACCAAGAGACGCAAGGTGCTAGGAGCAGCCCGGAGGCAGCGGGAGCTCTCTGGCTCGCAGGCATGCCCCGATCCACGCAGCACACACGCAGGCAGGGAACAGAAGCCTCACAGGATCCACTCAAGCTGGACCCAGCCTAAACCCTGCTCCACCCACACAGCTGCTCATGAGACAGCAGGGGAGCAAGGGCAGGACTAGCGAGATGATGTTTATTCAGCATGGTACCCGGCTCATTGCGCACCCCAAGCACAGAGCCCTCAGATGCTAAATGAAGCAAAACGCCTGCAAAGCCCCATAGGAAGTGGTGAATTGCTGCAATCCAGAGCTGCAGCTCTCCCCTCCTGCCAGAACAGGCTTGCACTAGGTCCAGCAACAGCCTGAAGCCCCTCTGCATGGAGCATCCAGCCATGCAGTGGGAGATGCAGGCTGAGGCTGATGCTGCCCCACCCCTTGTCACCCTTCTCACAGGGAAGAAGAGGCATCCCCTGTGTCTGCCAGCCCCCACCCACAACAGGCTGGGCAGAGGAGGATTTACAGGATTACTTTAATTACCCAGTTAGAATTACTCATTAGCTGCCACCCCACTTGTGCTGGTGGCAGGAGGCAGGCAGCGAGCAGGGTGCAGGATGCAGCAGTCAGAGCTGCTCGACCGCTGCCTGCCCTGCGTCTGGCTCTGCACCAAGCGCGCATTGAGGGCTCAGAGCAACAATCCTCCTAAGAGCTCATCTCCCCTCCTGCCAGATCCTGCTGCAGGAACGATGGGAGATGGGGAGAAGCCTGTCACAGGGACTGATTCGAGGAGAGCGCCCCAGATGCTGCCCCAAGCTGCATGGGGCAGAAGCAGCATTGGATGCCCAGAGTTTTCCCATTTCCCAGTGGTCCCCAGTCGGTCAGCCTGGCCAGCAGCTGCCCAGGGCTCTGTAGAAACACCAGCGCTTCCCAAAGTAGAGCAGCCCCCAGAAGAGGCTCTCCAGTGCAGAGTACCCAGTCCCAGCAAACCAGTGCAGAAGCACTGCTCTCCCTGCTTCACCCTCTGGGCCCCCCGATGCCTCTATCACACTTGCTTCCTTGGCCTCTGAGACACTTGCCCAGAGGCTGAACCATCCCACCCTGCATCCTGCATGCTGGGGATGGATGCACCATCTCACCTGCCTTTGCCTGTCTGGAGCAAGGGGGGAGGCAGGAGCGGCTGAGCCTTACCGGACATAGAGAGATCTCTTCTCGCTGGTGCGGAGCGAGCCGGAGCCGGAGCTCATGCTGCTGTTCATCATCTGCTCCCTCAGGTCGTGGATCTTCGACTCGAAGCGGCTGTACTCTGCAGGGAGAGAGGAGGGGTCAGGGCAGGCAGGAGCTGCCCCCGTATCAGTGAGTGCTGACAGAGGCCATTTGAGCCTGGTCATGGGCATCTCGCCATGAGCTTGTGCCCGCCCCTGCACGATGCCAAAGAGGCCGCAGCACCCCAGGAGAGTCCAGGCACTGCATCAGGCCCCAAACCCTGGGAGGGGCAGCTCAGGCCAGGGGTGCTGAGCCCTCCACCACCGCAGCAAGGGAGCACAGGGCAGGGCTCCGCAAGCCACTGACCCACAGAGCAGTTCAAAACCTGCAGACAAAGGAGACGCTTCCCCCCTGCCCCAGGACCCAGTCACCCTCTGCCTGCAGCAGCACAGCACAACCGCAGCACTCAGAACCACCTCTGCCCAGCAGCCACGGGCAGGGGGGACGCAGAGCCCATGGGAGGGGAGCAGGGAGAAGGAATTCACCTCTTCCTCCTACATCCCCGTGGCAGAGACCCAGACGGAGCCAGGACCCTCCGGAAGCTGTTGCTGGGAGCCTGGATGGGAGCAGCCTCCACGCCGGCGCCTGCCGCCGCGCCAGCCCGACCTTCAGCCTGTGTAAAGGTCGGGCCGAGGGTGGAGGCACCAGCTCTGCTTACCCAGGGCCGGCCAGGGAACGTTTGCTGAGCATGGAGCAGCTCAGGGACGCTGCCGGCATCGGCACAGCTCACCCGGCGCCGCGACCCTTGAGGATGCTGCCTGAGCATCCCATGGCTCCAGCGCTGGGACCGGCCTCATCCCTGCTGTGAGACGTGTCCACAGCCCAAGGGCTCAGCTGCGGTCTGGCAGGCAGCAGCCCAGCGGCTCAGGAGCAGAGGCAAGTGCGCGGAGCCCCAGCAGAGGGGCTGGGCTCGCTGCTGCCCGGCCTGCAGAAGCTGCAGCACGCAGGGAACAGCGCTGCTCAGGAATGCGCTGGGGGCTGTGCTTGAGAGCCAGCCCCTGCTTCCGGCCTCTCCAGCCCTTACCCCTGCAGCCAGACCTGCCTGAGCGCCCGCCTCCTGCACCCAACCCCCGAGACCCGTTTCTGCTTCAGGACTGGAAAACCCGAGCTGGGTGACAGGCACAGGACCCGCCGAGCGCAGACAGGCTCCGTGGGAAGCCCATTCCCTGCCATGGGACGTCAGGGGTCCACTGAGCACGGTCACCAGACCCCAGCCACCCCATGGGCACCCACTGCCCGGCTGGCCTCCCTGCATGCAGAGGCCAGGCACGGGCAAGGCTTCTTCTACAGACAAAGGGAAGTGCGACACCAAAGCAGCAGCAGGGTTTGATGGAGCTCCTGACAGGGGAGGCGAGATTCACTTCACACCCCTCACCTCACACAGGGCTGACCAGAGCATCTGCAGCAGAGCTCATCCTGTCCCAGGATGTCCCACATCCCAGAGGAGCATGCTCCAGAAGCAGGTACAGCTGGACACAGGGGCTGCTCTGGCTTTATCCTCCAGAGAACAAAGGGTCTCTGAGGAGCTCCCAACCTCTGCTTGCTCTGACTGCAGAGGGCACAGGACAGAGCAGCCAGCCCTGAAAGCAAGCCCCAGCATGGGGAAGGCAAAGCTACCCCAGCAGCAAGCGCAGGATGCTCCCTGTTGCCACCACCCCTCATTCGCACACTGGAGCAGCCTCCAAGCAGTCACCAGCAGATAAACCCCAGCAAGCAGTGCTCCTGCCTCTGCTCCCTGGCTCACAGGCTCTTTGCCTCCACGGCCTGGAAGGAGACGTCCTGCAGAGGTGACGCAGGGCTGATCCCCACCTCCTCGGCATTCCCACGGGACCCAGGAGCCGGATGTGCTCAGGACACACTTACCAAGACTGACAAATACGCAGCAGGTGACCGGGCACCTCCTGCAGCGGTGCCACGGCGGCTCCGTGCCACGTGCCAGGAGGGATGGGACTCGTGCTGCGCCCATGGGCAGCTCCATAGGAACCCTGCTCCGCCCTCAGCCACTCTGCACTGCCCAGGTTGCAGATGGACTGATGCAGCACAGGGCTTGGAGCAAGCTGCTCCAGTGGAAGGGGTCCCTGCCCGTGGCAGGGGTTGGAGCTGGAGGGGATTTAAGGTCCCTTCCAACCCAACCCATTCTGCGATGAAGCCTCATTCCCATGCCCAGCTCTCTCAGGTGTGCAACACCCTGCCCACAGCCAGGCCATCAGCATTGCCCAGGGATGCCTGGCCACAGGCTCCACCTGCATACACTACCCCAGCTCCATCTTTCCCCCCAGCAAAGCATGTCCCCCCCCCGAACCCACACACCTTCCTGCTGTGGGGTTAAAGTACAGACATGGCACGCGTGTGCAGGCACAGGCTCATGGATAGGTAGGGTCTGAGAGTGCAGCATGGCCATGGGGAAAGCTTGGAGGCTCTCAGAAGTCACTGCATGGTCCTGGCACTTCCCTTTGAGAGGCTGCTCAGAGAAATGCTGTCCTGCAAGTTTTTCTCTTCTCAGGTGAGGAATACCAAGGCTCTGTGGGGCACGAGGAGAGGGGATTGCCAAACGCAAGGACTTGTGATAGTGGCAGACAAAGGTCAGAGAGAGAAGTGCTCAGCGAGAGGAGTGCTCACAACTGCTCAGAGACGCTATCACAGGGAGCAGCCTGCTCCTCCTTGATGGCCTGCAGCTGCAGCTCTGCAACAGGCAGGATGCAGCTCCTCTTTCTGTCCTTCCCTGGCTTTGTCTTTGCTTGTTTCCCCTCCTAGTGCCTGCCACAGGGAGGTCTCATTCCCCAAAAGCTGTGCAAGCAACCTCTCTGCTCCCTCAGCACCTGACAGGTAGATGCAGAGCACTTGTGCACTCACAGTCAACCAGGTTGGAAAAGCCCTTTAAGCTCATCCAGTCCAACCGTTCCCAGCACTGTCAAGGCCACCCCTTACCCATGGCACCGAGCCCCTGTCTCCACGGTGTGTGAACACTTGCAGGGACGGTGAATGCAGCCCTGCCCTAGACAGCCTGTTCCAATGCCCAACCACCACCCCACACACAAGCCCTGTCTGTGCTCATGTGTAAAGAGACAAGGTGCCATCCTCTGAGAAGTTCTTCCCTGCTAGCAAAGGCAAAGCCCCTTTCCACCAGCATCTCCTCCTTCTGAGCACTCTATGATCCAGCTCTCCTGCTCTTTTCCACAGACATGATGCACATAGAAAGGCAAACACTTGGGAGCTCACATCCCCTCAAGGGGACCCAGCCTCACCTGCTCAGGGGGCTCACACCAGGGAAACCCTTCCCTTGGCTCCCAGGCCTCTAAGCCTCCGGAGTGCTGAGGTCAATTCCCAAGACACAACATTCTAAGTGTCACAGCAGCACCACTGCCTCCCGGGAGGGCTGCCCCCAGGGTGCTGCTGCCCACAGGTACCAGGAACCATCGCGGACCTGGAAAGCCACCGACTACAAAGCACTGACATTTCAGCCCTGGTCTACAGGGGTTTCAAACCACTTTGTCCTGTTTGACATTTAGGAAGCACTCTTGGTTGGCGTCTTTGCCAAGGCTCGAGTGGCAAAAGGAGCCAGAGACACATAAGCAAGAAGTGCTTCCTGGAAAAAAAGAAAGAGAAAAAAACCCACGCCAAACCAAACAAACCCCACACCCTCAGCACACCCCAAGCAGCACCACGGGCTCCGTGCCCCAGTGGCCTCTGCCATGGGATGGAGAAGGACCAGCAGAGACAGGCACACACCGGCCACTGCCTGGGCACAGGAGGGGCAGCAGAATGGCCTGGCAGGAGAGGGCAAGAGCTGCCGGGGAGCAAACCAGTGCGGCCCGGGAGCGACTCGGGTTGCTGCACCCAGCACGGCGCCGCTCGGACACGGCAGCGGCGCGGCCGCAGCTCCGGGCCCATCGCCTGTAGGGGCCGTGCCCCGTGACCCCTCAGCCCCGCCGGCTCGGGGGGTCCGCAGGCAGCTGCCAGCTCGCTCGCGCGGCCACGGGCTGCCCCTAGGGGCACCACCGGCCCCCGGCATCTTTGCGGAGGGAGCTGCAGGCCGGAGGTGGTGACCGGTAGCTCCGGGGCCGCACAGCAGGAGGGATGCTCGGAGCAGGGCACGAGCCCGCTCCCAGCACCGAGGCACCGGTCGCAGCGCCGCCGACCCCGCGGTCACAGCGGGGAGTCCCCAGAGCCCACCGCGCTCCCAGGACGAGGGACGGCCGCCGCACCCACGGAACCCTCGGGAGCCCTCGCCCCGGGCCCCCAGGGAGGCCCCCGAGACCCCACGGAGCGGAGCCTCGCGGTGCCCCGGGCCCGCCAGACCCCCCCGGAGTCCCTCCCGCCGCCGCAGCCCCGGGACGGGAGGGACCGAGCCCGGAGCCGCCGGGACCACGCTCACCTGAGCCCCGGAGCCGCCCGGCCGCGCACAAAGCCGCGCACGCACCGCCGGCGGGACGCCACCGCCCCGCCCCGCCCCGCCGCGCCGGCCAATCAGCGACAGCCACGCCCCCCAGGCACCGCCCCTCGTCAATTTGCGTCTCTCTCCAGCCTCCCGGCCCGCGCGCCAGCGGGCTCCACGCCCCCTTGTCTGCATGCCCCGCCCCCGCCTCGAGCCCGCCCCCGCCTCAAGCCCCGCCCCCTGCCGCGGTCCGTACCCTCGGGCCGGTACTGAGCCACGATCGTCACCGTTTGCCCCGCGCGCTTCAGCGCCGCCGCCGCCTGCTCGTGGGTCGCGTTGCGGAGGTTGACGCCGTTCACCTGCCGGGACAAAGCGGCTCCGCTGCACCGCAGGGCTCGCACGGCCCGCACCGCCCCCTGCACCCGCACCGCGGTTCCTCATCACCCGGCTGAGCCCCGGGACCAGCCCGGCCGGGCAGTGCCCGCTGCGCCGAGGGACAGCTCCCGAGCCGGCCCGTTCCAGCCGTGGCTCTCAGGGGTCAAACCCACCCTGGCCCTGCCGCGCCGTGTCCCGGTGTCCCCGGGGCTGGGGCAGGCCGGAGGCACTCACCGAGAGGATGCGGTCTCCCCTCCGCAGCTCCCCACTGAGGTCGGCCGGGCCTCCGGCCAGGATGAAGGACACGAAGATGCCCTCGCCATCCTCCCCTCCGACGATGTTGAAGCCCAGGCCGGTGGAGCCTTTATGCAGGATGATTTTCCGGGGCTCCCTGGAAGGACAGATGTGGGACAGGGAGACATCAGGGCAAGGAGCACTGAAGCTGGTGACAGGGTCAGCTGTGCCCAGGCTTTCCGGCACACCAGCAGGGATGGAGTCATCCCAAGTGCAACCCGGCGTGATGCAGCCCTTGGCACTGAGGAGGTGATGATAAACCAGGAGAGGTGTGGGCAACGGCACGAGTGACAGGAGGCTGAGCATGGGTGGAGACAGAGCATCCATGTTCAATCATGTACAGGACCATGGGGTTGAGAGGTGGCACCAGATGCTGCAAGCCTGGGCACTGGGAGTGGCGTGGCTGTGCCAGGACAGGGGGATCGAGCCCCTCTGCACCCCTGCAGCACAGCGAGTGTGCCTGCACCCCACACTCCCCCCACCACAGGCCCTGTGCGGCTCAACACAAGTCCTGCATTTTTCGACGATGCCTTAATCCTCTCACAGCTCAAACAACAGGCAGGCGAAGGCAGGAAGGCTGCCTGGAATCACAAAAATCCTGGGAAAAAAAGAAAGCAACTCTGATGGGAACAATGGAAGCTCCCAGCTCAAGCATGGCATTAAAATAAGAAAGACTCAATGATGCCAGTGCAGGCTGGTGATGACTGCAGCCAACATGACACTGGGGACCATCAGCACACCCACTGTGGTGGACTGGCGACACACAGAGAAGGAATGGGGCTCAGGCACACAAGCAGATCAGGAATCTTGGGGAATAAGATTTGGCCGAGCAGGCAGCACAAAGTCCTGAAGCTTGGCAGCGTGCTCCCCGGTCACTGGAGCAAGAGAACATCCCTTGCAACACACCAGGCCAGGCTGGGTGTCACTGCTGTCACCTGCACAGATGGAAGAAGGCTTTGATGCTTTCATGGATGCATTTACTGCAGGAAACTGGATCCAGGCCTGGAAGTCTGCTTCTCCTTCAGGAATGGCTGTCAGGAGCCTCCTGGGAGACAGCTCCTTTCCCAGGGGTGTCACTGGTCTTCCCCACACCAGTACAATGCATTTGGACCTCACTGGTCTCATTGCACAGTCTTGGTGATGCATTACTAAACAAAGCCGCTGTGATGAAGCTGTCCTGCGGGGCTCGGTGGGGCACAGAAGGTGTTCAGTGCTGGGATGGGATGGGTGAGGGAAGTGCTGTGCCTACCGCAGGCTGTGAACCTGCCCCTCTCCGATGGCAGGGGGCTGTGGTGGGGGCAGTGGCCAAGCAGTGACTAAAGGGGCCTCGGCACGGCAGCACCATCCTCTAGTGGCTGCCAGCACGTCCTGCACCGGGGCCACCACAGCGCCATTGCCGTAGATCCACAGTCATAGAACCAACCGGGATGGAAAAGACCTTTAAACTAATCCGGTCCAACCCTCACTCCAGCCCTGCCAAGGCCACCCCTAACCCATGGCACTGAGGCCTCCTCTCCACACTGTGTGAACCCTTGCAGGGCCGGTGCCTGCAGCCCTGCCCTGGGCAGCCTGTTCCAATGCCTGAGCACCCTCTGGGGCAGGAATTGTTCCTCAGCTCCATCTAAACCTGCCCTGGTGCAGCTTGAGGCCGGTTCCTCTTGTCCCATCCCTTGTTCCTTGGGAGCAGAGACCAACCCCACCTCACTACAACCTCCTTTTGTAGAGAGGGAAAGCTGTGGGTCAGGCAAGCACAGCACCAGAGGTCTCGCTTTCCTGTCCTCAGCACGAAGCTTTGGAGAAGTTTTACTCTGCATTCAGGCTCAGAACAATGTGCTCCTCTCGATTCCCTGGGTTCAGGAAACAAACCTGCTCATGCAGCGTAAATGGTGCCAGTAAGGAAAAGAGGGCCATGCTTCTGGCAGTCAGTGCAAGGAGGTTTGGGATGCCCTCAGTGAGGGCTCATATCTGGAGCTGTGCTCCCCGGAGCCCTTTGTCCCCACACAGCTCAGCTGGGACACGGGTCCAGCTATTGTAAAACAAGAGAAGGGAGCTGAAATGCCTTGCACAGGGCTCAGGGGGGAGCAGGAGGAATGGCTGAGGGACACAGGGCTGGAGCTCACTGCGGGGCTCCAAGCTCTGCTCTGCGCAGCCACAGACAGGCTTTCAGCTGCGGCTGTACCAGCAGCGGGGATGAGGTCAAGCAGCCAGAGAGGGAAAGAGAGGGAAGGAGAAGGAGCAGAGATTAGGGATGCTCATGCCTGGTATTTACCTGGTGAAGTCATCATCCCCCATCATGTGCCGAGGGATAGGCGAGTACCGAGATGGAGTCACCTGCTGGGGGACAGGGTAGGCAGGCTTGCTCTCCATGCTTCCCAGGTAGCCCATACTGGAGTTATGGCTTATGTGGTTGTCAGCCAGTGCTGAGAAGGCTGCGGGAGAGGAGAAGGGCATCAAGAGCAGAAATCCATCTGCAAACATGGAAGCGGAGACCAGCCCAGCATCACCCCAGCACGCTCCATCCCCCCGGCCCCGCGGTGCCCGGTGCCGCAGCAGTGGCCGGTGCCGTACGTACTGCTGGCGTAGTCGGGGGGCGCGTACATGTCGTTGAGGTGGATGTTGCCGGGCTTGGCCACCTTCAGGTACACCATGTCAGAGGTGTTCTTCAGGGCAGCCACTGCCTCCTCGTGCCGCACGTCCTGCAGGTTCGTGTTGTTCACCTGCAGAGGGAAGGGGCTGCATGAGTTGCAGGCAGGGGGCAGGCAGCAGGGGGTAGAAGCAATTTTCTGCAGTAGCTCTGGAGGCACGGTCCCATCTCCATGGTTTGTCCCCAGCTCACACGTTCCCTGGACCCCGGGCAGGGGCATGAGGCTGCCGGCACAAGGAACGCCAGGTCAGGACCTGCACCGCGGCATGGCGCAGGCTGCGGCACAGGGCTTACCGCTAGCAGCCGGTCCCCGATCTGCAGGCGCCCGTCCTTCTGGGCAGCACCTCCCTCGATGATCTTGGTGATGTAGATGCTGTTGTCCCCGGGGATGTGCTGGTTCCCGATGCCCCCGGCAATGCTGAAACCCAGGCCTTGAGGGAAGTGAGCGGGCAGGTGAGAGACAGGGAGATCGACAGAGCTCTGGGCTGGCACCGCAGCCCCTCTTCCTCACTGCGCTTCCCACCCTGCCCCTAACCCAGCAATGGGCCAGCCCAGCCATCATGCACTGCACTGTGGGGCTGCCCCATACCCTGTGCCCCACAGCATCCACCCTACGGCACCCTGCACCATGGCAGTGCCACCCTGCATCCCATATTCCCTGTGATGCCTCTTCGCACCCCACGGCATCCCACACCAAGGGGTCACCCCACACCGTCCCGTGGGGGACCCTGGTCCTGAGAGCGAAGTGAGGGGTTCACCTTTGGGGCCCTTCATCAGGTTGACCTCCATGATGGTCTCTGGTGGGGGCTGCCGGCGGCGCACCACGAGCCGCACCACAGGGCCCGCTTCCTTCAGGGCCTCCACTGCTTTGCTGTGCACCACCTCGGACACGTCCACGTCGTTCACCCGCAGCACGCAGTCGTTCACCCTGTGGGCACAGGGTGGCCCTTGGCTTCCCTGGGGAGCCACCAGCCCGAGCCCCCTCCTCCTGACACCTCTGCCACCCTCCTCCATCCACGCACACCCCTGAGACGCTCCAGCTGGCCAGATCCCGACTCCCAGGGTGGAACGGGGAAAGTGGGGCTGGTCCACCCTGATGGCGATGAAAGGTGAAGGCAAAGGCTGGGGCTGAGGCTACAGAGAAAAGGATGGGAGCAGGAGCCTGGCGCAGGAAGAGGAGGAGGGATGACTGCAGACAGGAGGCAGGTGACAGTGGACCATTCCCTGTGGGGAATGAACCATGGGAGGGGAGTGGGGCAGGAGCTGCCTAGAGGGTCCCTAGGGAGATCCGGGGTGATGCCCAGCTGGGGCTGCTCCCCTGGCCTGGTACTTACCCCAGACGGCCGTCCATGGCTGCGGCTCCCCCAGGGATGATTTTGGTGATGAAGATGCCGGGGTCATCTGGAATGTGGGGGTTGTCGATGCCTCCCGCTATGCTGAAGCCGAGGCCGGAGTTCCCCTGTGGGCAGTCACACACCCGTCGTTCCCCGTGGGCACCCCCTGCTCCGGTCCTCCCGCCGCAGCTCCCACCGGCAGCGGCAGCCCAGGCCGTGGAGCCCCTGCAGCACCCGGCGCGCCCGGGGCACACGGAGCGGCGGCCGAGGCGCTTGGTGCGGCAGCGCGGAGCAGATGGAGCCGGAGAGTGGGAGCCGCCAGGACCTCCCTCGCCACCACATCTGCCGAGAGAGGCTGAGGCAGGCGGGGAGCTGGGAGGGGGTGGTCCTTGGCAAGGGAGAACCTCCCAGCAGAGCCACAGCGCTGCAGCGCGGAGCAGCGGGGCTGGTTCCAGCTCCCAGCAGCCCACCCCTGCCCCTGGGATGCAGCCCCGGCACGGAGCCAGACTGTGAAGGGTTGGGTGGAGGGGGCTGCGGGATGGGGCAGGGTCTCCAGTTCTGCCTCCTCTTCCTCCTGGCCATGCCTGGAGGATCACTGCATCTCCAGCTCCATTCCAGATGCAATGAGGTGCTCATCCTGGGATGAGCAGCCTGACCCTGTGCCGCCTCTCCTGCTTGTAGAGCTCCCATCAGTGACACGCTCACAACTGCTGCTTCCAGCTCTGTGCTTGATGCAAGTGGACAATTCCTGCTTTTTTTGCTCTGCCTTGAAAATCAGATGGCTCCTCGCCTTGTTTGCTCATGCGGAAGAGCTGACACTTAGTCACATCCTATTGTGCCTGCCTCTCATACACAGGCAGGCTTGAGCCAAGCACCCTTCTGGCTGCCCACAGCCCCAGCGCAGCATTAGGTGTTGGGCAACTGCTCCTCCTGGGGACCTGTGACCAGGAGGGACACACGGAGCTTCCCAGGATCATTGAGCACCAGCAGTGTGCTGGGGTTTGTGCTTCTCCCCCTGGTGATTCAGGGCTCTTCAGACTGGCTTTGACTTCCACTGCCTTGTGCGTTTGAGCCCAGAACCCCCTCGTGTGCTGGGTGCACCCCCAGAGCGTGAGCAGCAGCTCAGGGAGGGGATCCTGCCCCTCTGCTGCACTCTGGGGAGCCCCCCCTGCAGCCCTGATCCAGCTCAAGAGGGACCTGGAGCTGTTGGAGCGAGTGCAGAGGAGGCCATGGAGATGCTGCGAGGGCTGGAGCAGCTCTGCTCTGGAGCCAGGCTGAGAGAGCTGGGTTGGGCAGCCTGGAGAAGAGAAGGCTCCTGAAGGGGAGACCTGAGAGCAGCTCCAGTGTCTGAAGGGGGCTACAACGATGCTGGAGAGGGGCTTTTCATCAGGGACTGCAGTGATAGGACAAGGGGTGAAGGGTTCAAACTGAAACAGGGGAGATTTAGGTTGGGTATGAGGCAGAAGCTCTCCCCTGTAAGGGTGCTGAGGCACTGGCACAGGGTGCCCAGAGAAGCTGTGGCTGCCCCATCCCTGGCAGTGCTCAAGGCCAGGTTGGACACAGGGGCTTGGAGCAAGCTGCTCCAGTGGAAGGGGTCCCTGCCCGTGGCAGGGGTTGGAGCTGGAGGAGATTTACAGCAATGGCAAGGATTAATAACAGTGTTGGACCAGCAATTCTGGTGTACACTGAGGTCATCTCTGGGAGCCAAACACCCCAGTGAGGGGACAGCTTCATCTGCAGGCACCAGATGCTTCTGCAATGAGATAGAGCTGTTGGATCCCACTGGGGACCAGGTGAAGGACCTGGGTATGTTCCATGCTGGCCCGGCTGTTAAGCACTGAAATTCCCTCATGGTTTCTAACTGCTGGAAAGGGATTCGCCGCCTGAGGCTCTGAAATGGGGGCAGCAATGAGTGCTGCCTCCCTGCGCAGCCCTGCTGGCTCCTGCCTTGCGCCTGCTGTGGATAAAGGATGCTCTGGAGGATCCCTGAAAACAAGGCTTTTGCCTCTGAATAGGGCCTGGAGCGAGCAGCGCTGGGCCCGAGCGGCAGGATCCCCTGGGCTGGCTCCGTCAGGCGCGCGGGGAAGGGGTGGGTGAGGCGGCAGCCCCAGATAACCTTCCGTCCACCCACCGCCGTGATGCAGAGCAAGGGGAGGAGGGGGATGACTAAAGACAGAGAGGAACAGAATGAGTGATGTGTCTTCCCCTGCGACACTGCCCCGCCGAGCCACCGCTGAGGCAGCGAGGAGAATGAGGGGTGCCATGGGCAGCCCCCTGCCACTCCCCCTTGAGCCAGCTCTTCCTGCTCCCTCTCCATCTCTGCTGCTCCCTGGGCACCAGGGGAAAGCCTCTTTACTCTGCGTGGTGCTGGCTCAGCCCTGGGTAAGGCCCATCCACGGGGAGAGGTGATTTTAGGCGTGGCTGATGTGATGTGCGCCATCAGCTCTGTGGCACCAACAGACGAGATGAGGCTCGAGCAGAAACTGCCCCCGGTTCATCAGGAAACCCCTCCTTGGTGCTGGGCATCAGAGGCTGTGTGCCCCGGTGCTGGGCACGCTGGCAGCGGGGAGGCAGCGGTGCCTGGGAACGAGCAGAGCTCCCAGCACCGCCGCTGGCAATGAGCCACGAGCCCCCCCCTTTGTGTGGGTGAAGGGTGCGAGCGAGGGGGGCAAGGGAGACGCCTGTGCCCCCCCCCTCCCTCCTGGAGGGGCTGTGGGTGCACAGCATCCAGCCCCCTCTCCCCGTGCCAGGGGCAGGCAGAGCCCGACACCCCCAGAGGGACCCGGGACCAGGCCCCCCCTGTCAGGGTGCGGAGATGGGGATGCCGGGGGGTGCAGTGGGAAGAGGCAGCAGAAGCTGCGTGTGAGTGAGTAAAGAGCACTTACCCTCTCCAGGACGATCTCCTCGTACTTGAACATCCCATCGCTGCCGTTCACCTGGGGAGAGGGGAACAGTGCATTACGGCTCTGTGCTGCTCCGGCCCGGAATTGCTTTTCCCCTCTGGCAGCTGAATATCAAGAATCCAACCTAAAAGCTGTGCCTTCAAGCTTAAACGCAACCGCTTGAGCCTGCCCTGGAATGAAACCGTGCGCTGCTTTCCTTTCTGGGCATGAGCCAAAGCCCACTGACTTTAATGCACTTCAGTGCAAAGCCTTTATTCTCCTGGCTCATTTCTCCAGCCATGAAAAGGAACGCAACCGGAGGCACAAGAAGAAATAACGCCTTTGTTACGCAGTGTGTAATTAACCTCGGGAATTCAGCGCTGCAGGAAGGAAAGAAAGGGGTCGGTCCATGTACAGTGAAAAAAATAATCAACACCCTTAGCAGCCTGTATCTTTGAAATGCTTCGGGAGCATGACTCTGAACAGGCAGCACAGAATGATTTATTCGACCGAATGAGCTGGGTGCAAAGGAAACGAGGTGCAAGTGTGGGGCACAGCGAGAGGGGAAAACACTGTGATGCCTTCAGATTAAAACATGGTGTAGCCTTCTCCGTGCTGTAGAGCGCCGACACCCAGGCTTCAGCATCTCCCCTACCCAGCATGCAAAGCAGGGCTCGGGGAAACAGAATGGCTTGAAACAAAAGGGATGCAACTGTGGGCTCTAAAATAAGAAACGGTGAATGTACAGTTCAAACCCTTCCATTTTCCCCATACGCAACAGAGCACAGGAAAAGAAGGCAGCAGTTTTACGCCAGGTCATCACGATCGGGTCATAAACAGCTGCCGAGGTCTAAAATTTGGCAAGATTTGCAAAGCAATTGGCTGCTACAACACTCTCCCAATGCCTACAGTGGGGGTAAAGGGAAATTTCTTCCCTGTGCGGGTGCTGAGGCGCTGGCACAGGGTGCCCAGAGAAGCTGTGGGTGCCCCATCCCTGGCAGTGCTCAAGGCCAGGTTGGACACAGGGGCTTGGAGCAAGCTGCTCCAGTGGAAGGGGTCGGAGCTGGAGGAGCTTTAAGGTCCCTTCAACACAAACCATTCCATGATTCTACAAGTGTATGGGAGGGGACCGGGCTCAACCTCCACATCTCACTCTGGGAAAAAAGGGCTGAGACTCAGAGACAGAGGGGCCTGTGGCACAGCAGACAAACAGCTCTCCCCTCATGCAGCCCTGCCTCTGCCTGAGGTGCCCGGGTGATGTGCAGCGTTCTCATGTGGATTTTACACCCACCATTAACCGATAGCTTGTAGGACATATGCAGCCACCTTCTGACATGCTCCGAGTCAAAATCCAGAGCTGTGGTGGCTTGCTTTGGATACAAGTCCCTTTATCCAGCAGCAGCACGAGTTCTGTCCTGCTGGCCCAGCTCCCTCCTCTCCAGCCCTGTGGAGGCACAGCCCGGCTACCCTGCAAACCCCTGTGCCCTTAGATGGAAGGGACAGCAAACATCATTTATGCTAAATCTGACACCGTGGCAGGAAACTCAGCCAGGTGGCTTTGAGGCCCTATGTACAGGTAGGGAGAGGAAACAGGAGCTTTTCTACATGGGAATAATTGGGTGCCCAGGCGGAAGAGCGGTTCTGCATGCCAGGATCAGGGATGGGGCCGTGCGCCCTCATTCCCTGCCTAGTTCAGCCCTGGTGAGGCCAAAGCAATCCCACACCCTGTTGCAGATACTGAGCTTCAAGAAGGACGAGGTTGGGAAGAGTCCAGACTGGACAGATGGGATGGGGGCTCTAGGGAACACGGGCTGAGAGGGCTGTCCTGTGGATATGCTCCATGCCTGGTGCCTCTCAGCCATGAGAAAATTTCAGGGCACGGTTCAGGGTCAGCACATCCAGATGCTCCAAAATGAGGATGCTCTGATCCTCCCAGCAGACAGCAAAAAGCTTTGGTCAGCTCTCGAACAGGACCCCACTAGGGAAAAGCACTGGAGGCAGTGGGATGAACCCAAAGCAGGATCCCCAACAGCATCAGAGGGATGAGGACGTGTGCTTGGTGCCACCTCCTGCCACACCGCTGCCCTGGCCCGTGTTCCTGTGGGCAGGGGCCATCGCTTCCCTTGCTGCAGGCTCCCTCTCTGCCGAGGGTTGCCTTTCCCTCCTTGCATCCCGCTGTCCTGACTAATGCTGGGGGCCGCGGCTGGCGCTGCCCTCACAGCCTCCCTCCTCACAGCCCCCAGGCTCATCCCATCTCCACAGTTGGGAGCGTGGGGCTCGGCGTCGCCTCTCCCCGGCTTTCCAGCAACGCGGATTCCTGGCACCCTTCACTACTACACACATTGTCCTCTCTGCTTTGGCATTGAGCACAGTTGCCACACAGCCAGCCATATGCACACCCACGGCCGCAGAGGAACAGCACATACATACCTACAGGATGGGGATGTGCAGAAACGCTGACAATCTGTGAGCCGCGGAGCGTGCCAGCAGCGCCAGCCCCGCCGAGCGAGCGAGGACAGGGACACCCTGGCAGGGCACCCGCTGCCAGGCAGGGCAGCCCGGGGCACCCCTGCGCCCTGCATCCCGGGGCTGGGCCCCGCTTTGCATCACTCCCCAACACAAGCGATGCTGGCGCTTGCCCAGTGGGGCACGTGCTGAGGGCAGCCTGCTCCGGGCGGGCGTGCTGGGGGCAGCCAGGCCTGACCACGGAGCCTTAGCTCTGATTGCACTTCCAAAATCCATGCAACAAGAACGCTGGCTAATTGCATAAGGAAGCCAAATGGAGAACTTAATATATACCATGTAACCAAGGGAACGAGCCAACAAAGCAAACGTTCCAGCGTTGGAAAATTGAATACCAGTCACTCACTGACGGCAAAGCCTCCCATGGCTCCCACCGGAGCTGCCGGGACCTGGCTCTGCCGCAGACTGCTCCCCCACTTCCTTGCTGGTGCCCCCAGCACCTCCCAGCTCCTGCCTGAGGCTGTCACAGTGGGGAGATGCTGGCTCCAACCCCCAACAGGGTGAGCGCATCCCACCCTGCTCCCACCTCCCCATGTAACGCCCGCAGAGCTGACAGGGGTGTTGGGGTCTAATTAGCTGTTCCTGGTGTATCCCAATCCTGAGCACCACGTCATTTCTCATGGAAAAGAGTAAGGCTACATTTTCCCAAACCCTTCCCACACAGCAAACCCACCTGGGGGCTCGGGAAGAGGCCCCCTTTGCTGGCCTTCACTTCCCTCTCATGTTTTGAGCAGCAGGGAAATGGTGATGACATTTAAATCATCAACAGAAGGCTGCAGAGTTAACACTCCCTTGATAAACAGAAGAGCACACACCTTCCAGAGCTACTGCAAGCTGTCTGCAGGCTCCGTGGCCAGCACCGCACCAGTGCACGTGGATCGCGCTGTGCAGTCTGATGGAGGCAGGATTTGCTTTGGGGTTTGGTTGGGTTGTTTGCTTTTAAACGAAAGAAGGAGGCCACATTCAGAAGGGCGAGATGAGGCTTCTCAAACCCAACCCGAGCACCCACCAGGCTGCAAGCGCAACTCACCTGCAGGAAGGATAACGCTGCCCGCAGCTGCTTGTGGAGCAGGATCTACCCATACCTTGCAGTTAGGACAATGGGAACAGGCTCTGGGATGTGGGGATGGAGCAGCCATACACCAGCATGAAGGGTCAGTGCCCAGCAGTGCCAATCGGCCCAGGGGTGGAGGGGGACTGGTGATGCCCCAGGCATCTCTCCTATTGCAGCGGCCCAGAGCAAACAGGTTGAGAGCTCCCTCCCTTCACATCCCAGTGTTCTGCTGCAGTGCCAAGACCTGCTAATGCGCTTCCAGCTGAGTGCTGGCCTCCCCCTGCTGTGTGCGTGGCCACGGTGCCAGGGGGTGCCCAGTCACCAAACGCTGCTTTCCTGGTCAGCCTGGTGCCAGAGGGCCACAGGGCTGAGCCTGCTGAGCTAGGGCATGGGGAGCATCCCTGGCAGTGCTCAAGGCCAGGTTGGACACAGGGGCTTGGAGCAAGCTGCTCCAGTGGAAGGGGTCCCTGCCCGTGTCAGGGGTTGGGACTGGATGAGCTTTAAGGTCCCTTCCAACCCAAAGCAGTCTGGGATTGTATGAGGGGGTCTGAAGCCTGACAGCAGAGTCAGTGCTGCACAAGGAGGTGGCCTCTCTGCTCACTGGTGGCAGAGCCTGGGGCTCCGGTGGCACTCGCTGGCTGGGGTCAGGCCTGAGAAGCACTTGGCTTCCTGGGACCTGGCTTAGAGATGAAGAAGGAGGCAGCTGGGCAGTGAGGCACCAGAGAGCGCCCAGGAGGGAGGCTGGGGATCGTCAGCTTCCCAAGGGCTTTGGGGTGACTTTCTGTGCTCAGCCTGGGGCTGCCCGGCAGCAGCTGCCATGCACCCTGGCAGCAGGAAGTGGGTTCAGCCCCAGAGAGGCAGCTCGGAAGGGCAGAGACCCCGTCCACCATGGGAACTGTGCTCCATCCTCCTCCGAGGGACCTGCTGGGCAGAACGCACCAAGGGTGAAACTGAGCAACGACATGGAGCTGGCGTGGGGGATCCCCCCAGCACCCATCCTTATCCTTCAAGGGATGCTTCTAATACACCAGGGATTTCATAAGGACTCACAAGGTTCCTACCCCCTGAGGTGCTGGGGTCTGCACAAGCTGCAGCAGCAGAGCTGAGCCCTGGCCTTGGTGCAGCAGCTCGTACCTTAGGGTGCTGCTGGTGCCACACGCTCTCGGGGATGGAGGTGGGTGGACAGAGACTGAAATGAGGAGCAGACTTCTTAATAAACAGCCAAGGCCAAATTCAGCCCAGGAGGGAGTCCAATGAAATCAATGGAGCTAGAACAGGAAGGAACTAGACTACATCCATCTGTTTATCGTTAAGGAAAGCATTGAATAGTTAAGTAATTAGCCTGGAAGATGTCACTTTAACCCTTCCAAATACACACTGCACCAACAGGCTTCGCCTTTCACGTTTGTACAAAAATCATGCTTCCAGATCTGTCACTTTGGGTGCTCTCCTGCAGCACACCCCTAGTGTGGCTCCTTTGCTGACCTAGGGAACCACTGAATGGGGGGTTCTGGGGTGTGTTTTCCCTGGAGCCTGGCACCCCAAGGAAGGAAAGGATGGAGCAGGACTCATTTCTGTGCTGGTATGACATGAAATAGAAGAGGGTTTCCAGGCTGGAGGTTGACAGGAATCAAACTCAGGTGTTTCCCCTGCCCTGAATCCATGCTCCTGTGGGCTGCTGGTCCCCAGTCCACCCAAGCAGACAAGAGCCACAACCTGCCCCTGCCTTTTGACCACCACAGGGCAGTTCCACCCAGCACATGCTGCTGAGGTTGGATGGATGGGGTAGGTGACTGCCATCCCCAGGGTGATGCTGGTGCCTGCCTCAAAACACAGCCAAGCCCACCCCAGGGACGGCAGGAAGGGAGCTCTCACCCAGCACAGCCAGAAGCAGCTGTGGCCAAGGCACAGAGAAGGGCTGGATGGGGATATGGAGCTAATGAGGTGGAGAGAGAGGGGGTGGGAGGGATGTGGAGTTAATGAGACAGAGCAGGGGGAAGGCGAGCGCACTGCGCAGGGAGGAGGCAGCCGCTGGCCCCACGGACGGGCTCCCTGCTGCTGGTGGGGGCCTGCCGGGGGACAGAGCCTGCCCTGGGCCTCAGGCTCACGGGCAGGGAGGAGGGACTGGTGCTGCCGGAGCCTGGCAGAGGATGCGGTGCTGGTGGCTGCAGTGGTGAGCAGGCGATGTCCCTCCTGGGGAGGGTAGAGATGTGACAGCAGACATCCCATCCAGGGACAGCCACAGCACAGCTTTCACCTGCCCCAGTTCCACCCTACAGAAGGTGAGTGCAGGGCACGGTGCTGCTCTGCAGCTGGGGTCCCCAGCAAGAAGCCTCTAACACCACCAACACCCTGCCCCGCCATGCATTTTTGGAAGGAAACCTTTGGGGACAGCGCCTCTCTTGTGCCACGTTCATACAAGGCTGCTGGATCCGGGACCACCATGCTGAGAGAGGCACCATCACCTTCCTCCCTAGTGCTGGGTGGTTTCTGTTCAGCACCCAAGGCATAATTAAATCACACAGCGTTGCAGAGGTCTCATCTGGGCTCCTCTTCCCTTTCACAGCCCTGCCCAAGCAGCCCAGCTCAGCAGCTGCACACTGACCCCACCACAGGCTGAGATCTGCAGCTCTTTACAAGGAAGGTTCAACCACCAGAAGTCACCCTCAGCCCTCCAGCATGGCTCCAAAGACAAACCAGCCCCAGCTCGCAGTCCCAGTGCTGCTCCATTAATGAGGGAGGCAGCTGAAATCTGCTGCATCAGAAGAAAACCAGTGCAAGGCACCCAGTCCAGGCATGCTGTCAACTGCATTCCTTTGGGGAGCCCCCCACGAGCGTGGCGCTAGGGCTGCAGGGACCCGTGCTGCCCACCCTGCTCCCTCCACTGCTCCAGCGCTCTGGGGAGGGAAGCGGCAGCACACAAGCCCTCTGCAACAAAGGGAGCAGGATTATCCCTACACTGCGCCAAGGGTGCCAAGTGCACCGTGCCTGCAAACAGCCACCAAGCACTGCTCGGCTGCTGGCAGCCTGTGCTGGGAGAGGAGAGCAGCACCCGCTGGGTCCTGCGGCCCTGAGGACCAGTGGATGTGATGCTAGCGAGTGCCAGAGAGCCCGGCCTCCCTCCTGAGGGGCTGCTGCAGGGGCTGAGGTAGTGTAGGAAGCCAAGGGGTGCCCCAGCAGCCACCCTGCATGGGAGGCTGAGTAAGTGGCTGTGTGGGAGCCCTGAATCATAGAGACACAGAATCAACCACGTTGCAAAAGCCCTTTAAGCTCGTACAGTCCAACTGTTCCCAGCACTGCCAAGGCCACCCCTAACCCATGGCACTGAGGCCTCGTCTCCATGGGGTGTGAACACTCACAGGGACGGTGCCTGCAGCCCTGCCCTGGGCAGCCTGTTCCAATGCCTGAGCACCCTCTGGGGCAGGAATTGTTCCTCAGCTCCATCTAAACCTGCCCTGGTGCAGCTTGAGGCCAGTTCCTCTTGTCCCATCCCTTGTTCCTTGGGAGCAGAGCCCAGCCCCACCTCACTACAACCTTCCTTCAGGCAGTTGTAGAGGGTGGTAAGATCCTTCCAAAATGGGATTGCCACCAGCCCAGCTTCTCCTGCTCCTCTGATGCCTGCTTATCCCACAGTGTGCCCCCCCAAGTGCCTCCTGCCTTGTGCCCTCCCTGCACTGGAGTCCCCAGCACCACTTGCTGCTTGCCTTGGCTCTGTTCAGTGTCACTCAACCCCAATGAGGTTTGGGGGTGGGATGTGCTGTGGGGATGCAGTGCAGGTATTGGGCTCCTCTGCCACCTCACCAGGGCTTTCCTGTGCTGAAGGAGCCTTTCCTGCACCACTGAGCAGGGAAAACACCGCTTGTTCAAAGGAAGCAAAACAAAACCAGGAGACTTACAGAGAGCCCTTGTTCCAGCGACTCTGGGTTCACGATAATGGGAGCGGGGTTGGCCTGTGAGGAGACAAAAGTGGGATGTCACCAAGCTGAGCAGTGAACCCAGCCCTTCGCAGTGCACTGCCTCTCCCCTGCCATGCCACCACGGACCCGCTGGCCAGGCAGGAGGGAGCAGTGCAGGAAGGGCTCCGCTCTCATCTCTCCTCCAGGTGCCCAACAGCCCTGGGCAGGAGCAGGGCCACACACATCACCTGGGCATAAATCTCCTCTTTAGGCCTGGTGTGTCCTAAACACCCCATGGCCTCGGCTGCTGGGAAGGAGAAGGGAGGACTGGGAACTCCCAGCTTTGGGCCAGCATCTCCCCAGCACCAAACCTTATTTGAAATCCACATGAGGGATTAGGAAACAAGAGCAGTAGGGAAGGAAGTCCTGAGGGAGGGAGGGAGGGATATATTGCCAGCAGACAAGCCTTGAGGCCTTCACATACCTTCCAGCAGCTGCTGCTGCCCTTCCGAAGCATGGGGCCAGCATGCTCTCAGAGAGGTGGCAGCGTTTGGTTCCTCATCCTTGTTATCCCTGGAGTAAACCCTCTGCTCAGCAGCCTCGGGTCATTCCCCACACCACCACACACTGACTTTAAACCTCTTAGGAGGGGAGGTTTGTGGGAAGCCCTGAGGAGGGGCAGCCAAGGGAGGGTCTTCCTCCTGCTGGGCTTCCCTCTGCTCATTAGCTCCTTGCATATCCTGTGACAGACACAGGTGCAGACGGCAAGCACAGGCAGGAGAGGGCAGGAGGAGGCAGGAGGAGGCAGGAGCAGGCAGGAGCAGGAGGCAGGAGCAGGCAGGAGGAGGCAGGAGCAGGCAGGAGCAGACAGGAGAAGGCAGGAGGAGGCAGGAGGAGGCAGGAGCAGACAGGAGAAGGCAGGAGGAGGCAGGAGGAGGCAGCAGGAAGCAGGAGCAGGCAGGAGGAGACAGGAGCAGGAGGCAGGAGGAGGCAGGAGGAGGCAGGGCGAGGCCCGAAGGGGCTGCGGGGGCCGGGGAGGTGCCGCCGCGCCGGAGCTGTCCAGCAGCGCAAGCTCCTGAAGGCGCGGAGCCGGGGGAACCCGTCGGGCAGCCCCTGCCCGGGCAAGGGGAAGCGCTGGTGTAAGCGGGAGCGGGGGGAGAGGCGGCAGGAAGCGAGAAACTGGAGATTAATGACAAAGGCGACATTGCTGCTGGCACACAACAGCAAGTGGTGCAAAAACCTGGAAGGTCAGGAGTGAGGCGGGACTTGCATTGTCAGTCCAAGGCTTGTGTGGAGGACAGCCAGAGCAGGATGGGGAAATGCTAACAGATATGAGCTACAAGGGGAGGTGAGCCCTCTGCTTTAGGGCATCAGAATAGTTCAAGGCCAGGTTGGACACAGGGGCTTGGAGCAAGCTGCTCCAGTGGAAGGGGTCCCTGCCTGTGGCAGGGGGTTGGAGCTGGATGAGCTTTAGAGTCCTTTCCAACCCAAACCAGTCTGTGATTCTGTGAAACAACAGTCAGAAGCAAGCAAGTCAAGGTGCGGGGTAGTGCAGCAATTAACAGCAACCGCTGTCCAGTAACGCGGGTGGTTTGGTTGCGGAGTCCAATGGCCTCTGTGAGCCTGTGGTATTTTCGCAGGAGCAGGCTACCTCCTCATTGCCCTTCTCTGGGTTTACATGGACTGAGCTTCCTCACATTACCCAGCATGGCAGTCCCCACCATCCCTTGTTTAGCTGATTGCATTTCTGGACTTGTCACTCTCCTCCCTTCATAGGTGGGAGAGTTTGGGGTCAACTGGATCGTAGTTTAAATCTTGCCCTGAAATGTCCTGCTCTCATCGATGGAGGGAGTTAATCTGGTTTATGCAGATGCTTTCTGATATTTCCTTCAGCTGTAACTATTGGTTACAAACCCATAGTTTTTATGGCAGTCAATTCTCTAGCTCAGGCAGACATGACCACTTCCAAGCATTGCCAAACCCATCCCACACACATAAGAGAATTGCAGTTTTCAGGTCCAGTGTCTTGGGATCTCCATGGCCCAGAAGCAATGTTGAGCTGGGAATATCCCCTCTCTGGCAGTACACAGTCCTTGTATTTAATCTAGATAATTTGTGAGATAGCATATATTAAACCTGGCACTGGCTTTTATTGGTCCCCAGTGCAATTCTAGGAAGGGATTCCACATTTCAAGGCAAAAAAAGCAGCACTTCTACTGCCAGCAATTAACAAGCGATGGATGTTTGAAGCTTGATGTGCCAGAGGTCAGCTCTTACCAGATGAGTTTCCAGGAAGGATGCAAGAGAAACAGTCTAAGTGAATGTAGCCCATCACGTGCCCTGTGATTTATGATATGACTTCAACTCCACAAATGATGCCTTGGATCCCTCCCAGGGAGAAATGTTCTGTATGATAATGTCAGAGGCTTTTGCAGGTCCAGCCTGAGTCCTCCACTGAGCCCTACTGCAGTCTCTTTGTTGAATTGCTAATAGCCCACAAATCACACATCACATTGCCTCACTCACACAGTGGTGAACCCTAAGGAAATACTTTATCTAGCCTGCTCACTGTGCACTGAGCATCCTCTGCAGCCATTCCACACTAGTGATTCTTGTAGCTCAGAATACTGCTAGGAGCACAGTTCCCCACTCGGGCTCCAGATGGGACCCAGGAGATGCTGCATGTGAGTGGCTGCTTGAAATCGAGTCACACATGGTCAGGAGGAATTCAGAGCAGGAAATCCCTGCCTGCCTCCCATGGCCAGCTATTCCAGCTACTACAAGAAAGGTGTTTGGGCACTGACCTCCACTTGCAAATATCCCAACATGTACACCCTGCCTACTCTACCACAGGGTCGTGCAAGACCTCAGACCCAGAAATAATCAGAGGGCCTGAAAATTAAAACCCTCTGCCTCCCTCTATCTGGCAGGCACATGTACTGAGCCTTTTGCTAGCCAGGGGAGGGGAGAGAACGTCATCACTTTTTGCTGGGCAGCGGGACCATGCTGATGAGTTAACCATGCCCTCAATTCTATAGGGAACGGTAAGTAATTGATGCCCTAAGGAGCAGGAGGCTGCTGCATGCAGGGAGGAAACAGGACTGTGCATTCAGGCCACATTCAATGGGGGCTGTCAGATCTCTTCCATCTAAATGGCTTCATCGCATTATTATTATTTAGTAAGCCCTGTTTGTGCTTGGGGGGTTACAAATGGAAAGAGAAGAGGTCCAATCCCTACAGCGCAAACCACACGTCAGCAAGGCCCCAAAGCCCAGCAGAGCTGGAGGTGCCCTGAACTCCCTCCATCAGGAAGAGGCACAAGGGGCTGTACAGGGCTACAGAAGGAGGCTGAGGGGAAGGTGGACCTTGGGGAGCTAGTGGGGTCACTGCACAAAGGCAGCGAGATTGATCCAGGCGCAAAGCCAGCAAGGCAGAGGACAGCTGCTGGGAAAATCTGGGCAGTAACAGGAGTCAAAGGGAATAGCAGTGAAGGGGAATGAGGTTTGAAGGTCAGGATTCAAGAGCTCTCTGGTCTCATGGGGGCTGATAGAGGCAGAGCCTTGCATTCACATGTGTCAAGCGACCAAGTGCTCGAGCACTACACAATGGCCCTAGTGGAAGCCACAGCCCAGGAGCTAACAGAGGAAGGCTCCTGCAGAGGCACCAGGAGAGCCTGGAGCACTTCTGGGGCAGCTGCCTCCTTGGCTAAAGCTGCCAAGGTCTGCATGCAGGGCAGACGGAAGCCTCCTCCCCACAGCCCCCAGCTCCAGGGGCTGGAGCACTTCCACTGCAGCATGTGCAGGGAGCAGCAGGACAGAGAGCAGCACTGTGTGACACGGGCTGGCACAGCTCGGGAGCAGGATGCAGCCTTCTGCAAACACCTTCACATATCACCTCTGGGCAGTCATCCGGAAGGGACCGCTGCCCTTGGGCTGTATTCCTGATGAGGGACGGCACTAAACACAGTCCTCTGGGGGCAGGCAAGCCCCAGGCTTCTATAGGCCCCACCCTTCACCTGCTTCTATTGCTGTCATCTGCTGGGAAAAAGGTAGGAATTGCAGAATATGATGACTTTGCCAAAATTTCAACCAAAGGAAAAGCTGGAATTAAATGCAAACATAGGAGGTGCATTTGCTTGCTTCCAAGGGCTGAGCTTTGTCCTGTGGCATCGCATAGAATCCCAGACTGGTTTGGGGTGGAAGGGACCTTAAAGCTCCTCCAGCTCCAATCCCTGCCATGCGCAGGGACCCCTTCCACTGGAGCGGCTTGCTCCAAGCCCCTGTGTCCAACCTGGCCTTGAGCACTGCCAGGGATGGGGCAGCCACAGCTTCATTTCCCCAAGGGCTGCTCTCAGGTCTGACACATGGGAACCAAGTGGGGAGACTGAAGAGAAAATTCAAGATATTCTCTCCAGAGCTGAAATGCTGAAGCTTTGCAGCAGCTCCACCTCCTCCACAGCCAGCACAGGCCAGCCCACAGAGGTCAAGGGCTATGTACCTCCTCCAGACAACAAACCTGCACTGCGGACATCCCTAGCCAAAGGCAACTGGATTGTGCCCACGTATAAAATCACTTCCAACTTCACCAGCAACAGGACTCAAACAGGAGCCTCCAGAGATCACAGAATAGCAGAATCATTAGGTTGGAAGGTACCTCTAGAGATCATTTAGTCCAACCCCCTGCTAAGGCAGGGCCACCTAGAACAGGTTACACAGGAACATGTCCATGTGGATTTGGGATGTCTCCAGAGGGGGAGAATCCAGAACCCCCCCGGGCAGCTGGTGCCAGTGCTCTGCCACCCGCATTGGAAAGAAAATCTTCCTCATGTTGAGGTGAAACTTGTACTTTAGTTTATGGCCATTGCTCCTCATCCTGTCACGGAGCACTGAAAAGAGTATGGCACCATCCTCCTGGCACCCACCTTGCAGATACTGATCTGCATTGATGGGGTCCCCTCTCAGTGTACTCTTCTGTAGACTCAGCAGGCCCAGCTCCTGCAGTCTCTCCCCATGACAGAGATGCTCCAGACCCCTGAGCATCCTTATGGGCTGCCC